TAGACAAAATTCCAAATCCAGTCTGAACATCTGGCTGACTGTGCGATGATCCATAATAAAGTTGGAAGGGACCTTGGAGGTCAAATCTAGTCCAACCCCCTGCTCAGGCAGGAAATCCTATACCATTTCGGACAAATGGCTATCCAGTCTCTTCTTAAAAACTTCCAGTGTTGGAGCATTTACTGCTTCTGGAGGCAGGTTGTTCCACTGATTAATTGTTCTGACAGTCAGGAAGTTTCTCCTTAGTTCTAGGTTGCTTCTCTCCTTGATGAGTTTCCACCCATTGCTTCTTGTCCTGCCTTCAGGCGCTTTGGAGAATAGCTTGACTCCCTCTTCTTTGGGGCAGCCCCTGAGATATTGGAACACTGCTATCATGTCATCCCTCGTCCTTTAGACTAGTCACTAGACATACCCAATTCCAGCAACCGTTCCTTATATGTTTTAGCCTCCAGTCCTCACAGAAATGTTGAGCTCAATTGTGGCCATAAGTTGAGGACTTCTTCTATATGCCAATAAATGAAGCTGAATTGAGATTTGAACCAATGAACCTAAACTCAATGCAGCACGGCGAATCCATAAGGCTTTATTTGAAAATAAATATTTTAAAAGTGTGATTCAAGGCCTCCCTTTTTTCTTCAAAAGAAATGGAAGGCCGAAAAAAAAAAATGAAATGAAAAAGCAATTTTAAAAAACCCTGCTGGATTCATTTCTTTATACAGGACCAAATAATATATTTAGCTACGTCATGCCCTCCAAAGACAGCAGGGATGGGAAAATGTGCTCTTATCTTTTACAGAAGGATTCTTTAATTGCAGATCAACCTGCTTTAATAGCTGTGCCAATCAATAAGTGTCAATCCATAAAAATGTCCCTGTCGGTAGCGAAGAACATAAATGAGAACCAGCGAGCTGACTAAAATCAATGGCTTAAATGAAGGTTTTTCTCTTGACGGGTATCTTAGACAGAACGTCCTGTCTGAAAACGGCCATTTCCCCCCCTCCCTCATAACCATAATTTTGGACATCCTGCTAGGAGCATTACAGCGGTGTTCGTCAACCTGAGGAACTTGAAGATTCCCAGAATTCCCCAGCCAGCCATTGCAATTCCACTCTGAGAATTGAAGTCCACACAGCTTCAAGTTCCTGAGGTTGAGAAACACCGTGTTACAAGCTTGCGAAACCAACTGCAAATCTCATCAGCAGCCAGCTTTTCACATGCGCTTTTAACCTGGTTTATTCTGGGAGAGCGAGGTTAGCAATTTGCAGACAACTCACCAAACCCTGCCCAAATGCCACACTTCTCTTTGCCATCTGAAATTTCAGACTCATTCAAAGTTCTAGTCCAGTGGTTCTCAACCTTTTTAATGCCGCGACCCCCAACCGGTCGCAAGTCAAGGACTAAACCGGTCATAAGTCGAGGACTAAATCGGTTGTAAGTCGAGGACTAAACCGGTCGTAAGTCAGGACTTTCCCTGCCCGGGAGCGCCACGCATGCGTGGTGCCGCCCCCTGCGCCGGCCGAGGCATAGCTGGCAAGGGCAGAGACAGAGCAGGCCGACCACCGGCTGGGCCACCAGCTGGCCCAGCCCAAGGGAGGTAAGGCACCCGCCGGAAAAGGGGAAAAAAATGGCCGCCTTGCTTGGCAACCCCCGTGAAATAGTCGATCGACCCCAAATGGGGTCGCGACCCATAGGTTGAGAACCGCTGTTCTAGTCCATCTCTTCATAAAATGCATTTCTTGGGCAAGGGGGATGTTGAAATAACACCGCGTCAACTTATCCCTTTGAAGGGTGATGCCAGCAGTCTGTAACCGTCAAGTGACCTGAAGGGCTTTCTCCCTTTGGAAGCGCTGAGGATCATAAGGATGAAAATCAACAGCTAAGAATACAAGATCTGTCCTGTTGGATCAAGATTTGTCCTGTCCAGTTCCTTGTTGTCCATCGTTCTGTTTCTCCCAGGGGTCAAGATGCCTCTGAGTGTTGTGATTCCGTGCCAGCCTGTGCTCCCAACAGCTGAGTCTGAGGAATCTGAGGAGGCATTTGAAGGGTCATCAGGGGCAGAGGGAGGCTCTGATGAATTACAGGACTCACGGTTTGATGCAGAGCCTGGGCCCTCCAGTCGTGTTCCTGATGAAGCTCAGCTGTGTGAGGAGAATGAGTCAGACTCGGAGAACTCACACCTGATGGACATGCTAATTGATGCTCGCACACATTGTCAATTAGCGAGAGTAATCAGCAGCAGTCAATACGGCAACTCCAGGGTAAAAGGAGAAGGAACTGAAAGGCAACGCCTTGGGACTGCTGTATAAAAAGAGGAGGTGTGGGCGGTGCTGGTTGCTGAAGGCAACCATTTGCAAAGTACTTCTTGGGATCCTGGTCTGTTCGTCTTGCTTGTGACTACTCTTCTGTTTGCATCGTGTTTCCTGTGGACTATTTCCTTCATTTGGATTGAGTTTTGCTGTTTGTGTTTTGGACTATTTGGCAGGTTTGTCACCCATATTAAAAGAGGTTTGTTTTGTTTTAAAGTCTCCAGCCTATTTTATCAACAGGGATTTGGTCCTTGTGCCTTTAACAAGGACAGTTGTAGGCTGGGATAGAACACCGAGGTGCTCAGAAACAGAAGATACAGATACCACAAAAAGGGTCTCCGTGTTTGCCTCAGATCAGCTAAACATCATAGACCAGCTTTGCACAGCAAGCACCACTCGGCACAAAAGCACAGCGCAAGGGTCCCCGATCCCCAGGCTGCAGTCACTACCGGGCCGTGGCCTATGTGGAACTGGGCTGCGTAAGAGAAGGGCTGGTGCACATAGCTCAACTCGCATGAGCGCCAGTCATGCACATGCGCACACTCAACTTACAGCCGGGCTGCGTGGGCATGCACAAGCGCACCGGCCTGCTGCTCATGTGAGTTGTGTGTCGGCCAGTTGCTCAAGCAGCCCAGTTTCCCTCTCTCCTCCCCAGCCAGGCCACCAAGTGCTCAACTTGCAACCATTCAGAGTTACAGCATTGAAAAAAGGGAATTTACAACCTGTCCTCGCACTTATGACATTTGCTGCCTTCGCCATGCTCATGATCAAAATTGGGGCGCTTGGCATGTATTTAGGATGGCTGCAGCATCCCAAGTTCCATGTGACCACCATTTGTAGCCTTCCAGCTGGCTTCCAACAAGCATAATCAGTGGGGGAAGCCCGATTTGCTTAACAACCACATGATTCACAATTGCACTTAGCAATCACGGCAAAAAAGGTCATAAAATCGAGCGCCGCCCCCTGAACAGCTGCTTTGCTTAGCACCAGAAATTCTGGTGCCAATTGTGGATGTTAAGTCAAGGACAATCTGCATTGTGTCAACTTTGTGACGGCAATGAAACCTTCTCGCTTTCTTACCACCATTGGTATCTTTTGACAACTATCAGACACCAGAGTACACTTTTATATGTAGACCAGAGGTCCCCAACCTTTTGGGCACCAGGGACCGGTTCCGTGGAGAGAGGTTTTTCCATGGACCAGAGGGTGTGTGGTTTTGTGTGCTGCCTGCATCCCACAGGGGGGCTTTGTTTGTTTGTGCAGACCGGTTGCTGGAATGCTGCGGCCTGCTACCAGTCCACGGACCAGGGGTTGGATACCCCTGATCTAGGCTTCCAACATCCTTTGTGGCAAATTTACCACAAAAATCACTCTTGGTTTTCATACCATGACTGATACAGCTTCTGTGGAACTCCTCAGCTGGCTTGTTTGCTCAGGCTATCTCAGCCACTTCAGTCTGAGAAAGGACAAGGTGCATTCAAGGTTTTAATTAACAACCTTTAATTATAAACCTGACCTATGCTAGCTACTCATTCCAAGCTGGACAGGACCATCCTAAGGGATGATCATCAAGAGAGAAGAAATTATCTGGACAGTCTTGGACACGGGTAGACAACCTTGGCTCTTTTATGACTGGTGGACTTCAACTCCCAGAATTCCTGAGCCAGCCATGCTGAGGGGAAAGGGAGAGGTTTCCAAGCTGAGCCATGCTGACTCAGGAATTCTGGGAGTCGAAGTCCACGAGTCATAAAAGAGCCAAGGTTGCCTACCCCTGGCCTAACCTCATCCCTCAGGACAGGGGTGGGAACTATGGCAACTTTACTGAAGTCCACTGGCTGTGGACTTCAACTCCCAGAATTCCTGAGCCAGCCATGCTGAAGGGAAAGAGATAGGTTTCCAAACTGAGCCATGCTGGCTCAGGAATTCTGGGAGTTGAAGTCCACCAGTCATAAAAGAGCCAAGGTTGCCTACCCCTGGCCTTGGAGAAGGTCAACATAACATGGTCATCTCACCACTAATACTCACTTCCAGAGCAAATCGTTTTAGAAGATAGCCATCTAACATCAGGCACTCTGGGGGGAAAATATCTGGATAGATTTCGCTCCAAGTTCAGGTTGAGACTGGCAGTAAAGAGCTCAGAAGGGACAGCAGAGGAGCAGCATTTGGAAGTTCTCAGTATCTCAGCAACATCAATTTGGATTTGTGGAACAGCTGCTTCAGTGAAAGAAGACTAGTGGACCTGCTCACCACAAGGAAAGGTGGATGGTAGCAATCATGGTGTGGTGGTCCTCTCCTTGATCAGTTGCCATCCATTGCTTCTTGTCCTGCCTTCAGGTGCTTTGGAGAACAGGTTGATTGCCTCTTCTTTGAGGCAGCACCTGAGATGGGATATTTGGGACAATGTCCCAAGGTTGGATATAAAACTATCCCAACACATTGGGATACTTTTTAAAAAATCAGATCTACGCACCCACATAAAGCTTTCTCAACTTCTATTTGTTCTTGACGCCCTTCTTTTCAGGAATTCCTGTGTACTTAAGTAAAAAAAAAGAAAAAGCAACCTATGCAGTGATCTCTCTTTTTCTCCGTGTGTGCTTTGTGTGTGCGCATACACACCCGTGACTGCGCCATAAGCATAGGAAACTCTCACCAACACCACAAAAAAAAAAAAAAAACTCCTCGCCCATCACTCACTTAAAAGAACCAAGTATTTTCACATTTATTTGTCTTTTGGGGTTGTCACTAAAGTCTCCAGAATTTTTTTTGTTTGTTTTGTTTTGTTTTGTTTTGGCTTCTATAGAAATTTATCCCAAAGGGAAAAAAAAATTAAAAGAATGAAACAAAAATTAAAAAAAAAAAGACAGACAAGATATTGTGAGCACGCAGCTCCACAGACCCGCTCCCACACCCCACTTATCTTCCCTTTGGGGGAGGGAACATCCTTGTGTTGTTAATTTCTCCCTTTCCAAAGTTGATTTGTCGGTCACCTCTGCTCTTTAATTTCCACTGCTCCTTCAACCTCTTGGTTGTGGGATCTCCAGGTGGAACCCACTGGGTTTGCTGACTTCTCCCAAGGCAACTTCAGTGGATTCTGAGCGCAACCTTGGTGTCCAATGCTCTTTTTCTCCACACAACCACAAACCCTACTCATCTTAACTGAGGTTGGGAGTGACTTGGAGCTACCTGTGCTTTCTGGTGGGGTGGATGGGTGGGTGATTTCAGGAGTGGGAACCCTACCCCCCCCCTACCGTAGCTGGAGAGCATTACCGCCCAGCGTTCCTGATCCACAGGTTTCTTTGACCTCCAGTACAGCTGCTGAGCACATCCTCCAGAGGTTGATGGAACGGGGGTCCAGCACAAAGCTATCTTGAGAGCTTCTGGAGGGAGGCCAGAGGTCCAGAAAACATGGAGGACAACCTGGAGGAGAAAGCTCTTCTTGAAAAGTAGACAGTTTCGCGATCTCTTCTCCCCAAAGCATGACACTGCTCTTTTTCTTGTAGTGCCACCGTGGATCCATCCATCCAGAGGGTGAAATTTGGGTGACGGAGAGCAAGGGGGAGAAGGAGGAATGGACCAGGCATGATGAGTACCTCGTTCTCATGTAAGGAGGGCGGCACAAAAAAGGGACCCCTCCCTCCCCTGTATTTTGGAACGAGTAGGTGGGTTTCTTTCTCCGGGACGCTTGGAAGGAGAGCTGCAAACTTCCGCAGCCCCCAAGGGCGAGGGTCCCTGTGTGGGGCTCTGTGTGGGTCCTCCCAGTTTCGGGTCCCTCGTCCAGGGCATACGCATAGCGTACATCTCTAACTGGAGGCACCTCCGCCGATGAGCGAAGGCAAGGTCAACCAGGAGGGGGCCAAAAAGCAAGGGCAGGGAGCAGTCACTCCTGCTCGTTGAGTTCGCGGGCAACTCCCCTCCGTGGAGTGCCTTCTTCAGGCGGCGGGGGCCCCCGGGGTGGCGGGGGAGCTCCCCGAAGAGTCTGGATGCGCCGGCACTCGTGGCAAATGCGGACGTGGGTACAAGGCCTGGGGGGCTCTTCCAGCAGGCGCTGAGGGCCTGGTTCTGTCACTAAAGTCCCCGAATAGAGTTTGCCGTTGCTGAGGCGCATCTCCCGGACAGATCGCAGCGAAAGGCCCCCGCGGATGGGGTAGTGGCGCCGGCGCCGGCGGGAGCGAGTCGGCTTGCGGCAAGAAACCGCGTGACGTAGCTCCCTCAGCATCTCTTGACAAACGGAGATCTGCAGGAGGGGGAAAGGAGAACAGTCAGAATAACAGAGGATAACAGAGTCGGAAGGGACCTTGGAGGTCATATAGTCCAAACTCCTGTTCCAGCAGGAGATCCTATACCAGGGGTAGGCAACCTTGGCTCTTTTATGACTCGTGGACTTCAACTCCCAGAATTCCTGAGCCAGCCACGCTGAGGGGAAAGGGAGAGGTTTCCAAGCTGAGCCACGCTGGCTCAGGAATTCTGGGAGTTGAAGTCCACGAGTCATAAAAGAGCCAAGGTTGCCTATCCCTGCCCTATGCCATTCAGTCAGATGGAAAGTTCATGGGCTGGGAATTCTGGGCTACCATTCAAATTCTGCAAGAGTGCTGAGAAAGTGGTAGTTACAATCAGTCCGTGGAGTATTGGCTGTTGCAGCATCCCCACAGTCATGTGATTGTGATGTGGGCCCTCTGTGCCCGGTTCATGATTATGTTGCAGCAAACCGTGGTCACATAATCACAATTTCCTTGCCAGCTTCCCACAAGCAAAGTCATTGGGGAAGCCGTCGGGAAATCGGAAGCCCTGGAGACAGTTGCTCGATGACCTGTAAAGTTCTTGTTTAACAAGAGCAATTTGACACTGAGTGGTATAGTTATGTAGTGTCACATAATGATGGCAATTCCGGTCCCAATTGCCATTGTAAACTGAGCATCAGCTGTACAACAAAATACAGGCGCTCCTCACTTAACATCCACTCATTCAGTGACTGTTCAAACTTAACACCAGTGCTGAGCAAGTGATACTTACGTACAGCTGGGTCCTCATACCTATATTGTTTGCAGCATCCCCATGGTCACATAATCATCATTTGTGACCTTCTTGGTCAGCTTCCTTCAAGCAAAGCCAATAGGGAAGCTGGCAGGTCACAAACGGAGACTATGTGACATCCTCCCTTCACAACCGTTCAGGATTTGCTTAATGATAGCAATGGGAAGTGCCAGAACTTCTATCACTAACAATAAAAATTCCAGTCCCTATTCTTCTTCTTAAGATTGCCTGTACTCAAACTCGTGGCATTCGGGAAGGATCAGCAATGCTGCACCCATGGCAGAGATTGTGATCCCATTTTTCACAAATTGTTGGAACAACCCCCCCCCCCAAAAAACGGGTTCAACAAAATCACAGGTCTATATTGTGCAGGGCTGTCCCAAAGTTGCTTTTTCAACAGGCAACTGGACTTTCTTGATTTTTTTTTCTTTGAGGACGTTTTGCTTTTCATCCAAGAAACTTCTTCAAGTTCTGACTGAATGACTCTCAGGAGGAGCGCTAACAACCAGACGACTGCAAGGAATATAAATCTTTCCATTCTCTACCTTCAGTCAGAACTGAAGAAGCTTCCTGGATGAGAAGCGAAACGTCTTCAAGTCCAGTTGCCTTTTGAAAAAGCGCTTTGGGGGTTATGCCAGGTTATTAAATCCAGCCTTTCGTTTGCAACTGTTTCCTTCTTTGTCGGGGATACGCACCAACTCCTTTTACGCTTCTGCTTGTGGCTTGGCAAGATCTTAATTTTTTTTTATTTTTCCAAACTCTTCCCCATACATATACCATGATATTTATCAGATGTTAACATACATTCTTTTTATATTCATCTATAAGATACTTTTAATAAAATGAATACATACACATGACTTTTGGTGTTGCTCGCCCATTTCCCCTTTCACTGTATTCACACTCCTTCTTCTCTACCTTCTTTCTCCCTTTCTTCTCTTCCCTACTTCCCTCTTCTTCCTCTCCTCTTCTCTTTCCTTTACCACTCTCCTCCCCTTTCTCCCCACTTCTCCTCTTCTCCTCCAACCTTCCTACTTCCTTCTCCCCTCCTTCACTCTTTTCTCTCTCCTCTCCTTTCTTCCCTCTCATCTCTCTTCAGATACAATTCAGGGGTAATGTCCGAGCAACTCCTCTCTCCAAATTTCCCTATCTGTATTATATACAATAAGGTTAATTTACTCTTACATTAATACTTCTATTTATCTAACCATCTCGATATATATTTCTATAAACATTTATACAACCTCCAGTTATTCAATACTGTGTCGCGTGGGTCTCCCTCCTTATCTGCTCCTTCTTCTTCCATCTAAATTGATGTTAACTATCTTTAAACCGTATTCTCTTTCCAGCCAATCATAAAAAGTTCCCCAGATTTCATAGTAGTCTGACTCTGTCTTATCTTTAATTGTCATTGTTAGTCTATTCATTTCTGCACATTCCAGTATTTTCCCAATCACCTCTCCCTCTGGGGGGGCTTTCAGTGCTTTCCAATTTTGTGCAAACACAATCCTGGCTGGGCTTGGCAAGATCTTGTGGCTTAGCTCCTTCTCTGCTTCAGGCTGATTGTAAAGAAGCACGCAAGGCTTCCTTCATTTTCCTAGCCTCAGTTTTTGTCCCTTCCCTTCCCTCTCCCTGTGTCCCTCCCCAGCCTCACTCACCTCTTCGTGCTCCGCTGAGCGCCGTGTGGCCCACACAAATTCCATGACGGCCACAAAGACGGCAATGATGAGTCCACAGATCAGCACCACAAATATTCCTCCAATGTTCTCCATACCCAACCCTGGAGTAAAGAATGAGGTGTGAAGGATACGAGTTGTTAGGAGACACGTGGCAACGGATGCTTATGTCCCTCCGGTAGGAAGGAGGAGGAGTCCTTGACTTACAACCATTTGTTTAGTGATCATTCAAAGTTGCAATGGCACCGAGCAAAGGGACTTATGAGCAGTTCTCATTCTTTTTTTTTAGTTTTTGTTTACTAGTTTATAATATAAAATACAGAAATATACCAAAGTCAATAGTAGGAAAATAAGGGAGGAAAAAGGGAAGGGAAAAATGTGGAGCAAAGGGAAAAAAGAAAGAAAGGGCATTGATGTCCTTTCATCAAACATCAACTTTTTTACTTTTACATAATAATATAAACTAGCCATTTCTGTAACAACAAACCTATTAATCTGGGTAAACCCCAAAATCAACGTGTCGGTTTTTTGCCACCTCAAGCACAAAGTCCAGAAGGGGTTTCCAAGTAGAAGCAAAAGAAATTGCATTTTTTTTTTCTTTGATCCAAGTGGTCACTTTGGCTATGTCTAGTAAGTCCTAACACTTGCAACTATGGCAGCTTCCTCGCGGTCATGTGATTAAAATTTGGGTGCTTGGCAAGTGTTCTCGACAGTTCCTTGAGCAGTCTCTTGGGAAAATGCCAACTCAGCCAAACCATCAAACAGTAAATAACAAGTCTATTCAAGGAACTGTCAAGACCGCTCCCGCCAACATTAACAGGGCAAGACACCTGTACAAAAACAGAATGAAACCCCACTCCCTTCTAGCACTGATGGTGTTACCTAGTTGGGTAATGAAACGTCTGCAAGAAAACAACCAAGCTCTAGAGAGCACCAAGGACACCCAGTTTTGGATCAGTTTGATGAATAGATCTTCCTCCAAAAGATGCTGCTGTTTACATTCTGGGAAAACAAACCCTTTCCTTCACAGAACTACATTTCCCAGGGTTCTCTGCGGAGAAGGAGCAACTACCGTATTAAACTTCACCTTAGGTCTTTGATATCTCTTGGCAGTTCAAGCTTTTCCTGCCTGCACTCTACTGTATGGACACAAGAGGGCACTTTTCCCCAAACTTAACTTTTCGGGCACCAGGGACCGGTTCCATGGAGAGGTTTTTCCCAGGACTGGAGAGGCTGTGATTTCACATGCTCCCTGCATTCCGCGGATGACGCTTAGCTTGTTTGTGTGGGACCGGTTTGTGGCATGTTGCAGACCGGTGCCGGTCCATGGCCCAGGGGTTGGGGACCCCTGCCCTAGAAATCTACCACATTAAGTACAAGCAGTCCTTGGATCAAGAATGGCCAAATTATAGACAAGTGTTTTCACGAACTGCTGAAAACTGGCTGTGTATTAAAAAGGTCCACAAGAATCTTGCAGGGCTTCCGCAATTTTGTTCAGCTCAAGGAAGAACACGGTCCGCCATTTTGAGTAATAAGTGGCTCATTCACATGCTACAGATAAATTCACGTTCAAGACACATTTAGGGACAGGGCTTGTTCTTAATTCAGGGACCGCTTGTAACCCTCAGAGGGGTTCTGCTTAGCTTACAAGCCTAGATCGGGTGGACTAAATATGGCCACCCCCTGAGATTCTGACATGAAGGTCATCCGTTTGAAAAGATGAATCATCTATGGAGCGGTCGTTTGGTACTTAAGGGACCCCACCTCATAACATCCCACCCTTCCGATTTTCTACTTGTTAACCTTTGGCCCGATGGTCTTCCTCTTTTGGGCATTTGCTTCCTTCCCACCATTTGCGTTTCAGGATTTCCAACCGGTTGTTTTCCTGAAGCTGCAGAATAGCCAGGGTGAGCTCATCCCGGAATGGAGAACCTGCAGGAGGATAAGGAGGCAACTCTGAGACACCAATCAGTTTTTTTCTATCATCTCCTCCTCTTCCTCCTCCTTTCTCCTCCACTTCCCTCTTTCTCCTTCTCCTCCCCCTCTTCCCTCTTCCCACTCTTCCTTCTCCTCTACTTCTCTTTCTACTCCTCTTCCTCTTCTTCCTTCTCCTCATCCACTTCCCCTTCTCTTTGTTCTCCTCTTCCCTTTCTCTTCCTCCTCCTCTACTTCTTTCTACTCCTCTTCCTCTTCCTTCTCCTTATCCACTTCCCTTTCTTGGTCCTCCTCCTCTACTCCTCTTCCTTCTCCTTGTCCACTTCCCTTTCTCTTCCTCCTCCTCCTCTTCCCTTTCTACTTCTTCCTCTACTCCTCTTCCTCTTCCTTCTCCTCATCCACTTCCCTCTTTCTTTGTCCTTCTCTTCCCTTTCTCTTCCTCTTCTCCCTTTCTACTTCCTCCTCCTTTACTTCTTTCTACTTCTCTTCCTCTTCCTTCTCCTCATCCTTCCCTCTTTCTTTGTTCTCCTCCTCTTCCCCCTTTCTACTCTTCCTCCTCATCCATTTCCCTTTCTTTGTTCTCCTCTTCCCTTTCTCTTCTTCCTCCTCTACTTCTTTCTACTCTTCCTTCTCGTCCACTTTCCTTCCTTTTTCCTCCTCTTCTCTTTCTCTTCCTCTACTCTTCTTCCTTCTCTTTATCCACTTCCCTTTCTCTTCCTCCTCTTCCCCCTTTCTACTTCCTCCTCCATTCCTCTTCCTTCTCGTCCACTTCCCTCTTTCTCTTTGTCCTCCTACCTTTCTCTTCCTCTTCTCTCTTTCTACTTCTCTTTCTACTTCTCTTCCTTCTCCTCGTCCACTTCCCTCTTTCTCTTTGTCTTCCTCCTCTTCCCTTTCTCTTCTTGTCTTCCTCTTCCTTCTTCACTTTCTCCTCTTCCCTCTTTCTCCTCCTCTTCCCTCTCTTTCTCCTCTTCCTCCTCTTCTTCAATTCCTCCTCCTCCTTGTCCTCCCCTCCCCCTCCTCTTCTTCCTCCTCCTTCCTCCTCCTCCAAGCCAAGCCAGCTACTGTTGCTCACCCAGGGGCATCCCGATGCCGTAGCCCTTGGTATCTAGTAGCCCCCCAATCTGGGTAAGGTTACAGTTGAGCCTCCGGTGATATTCGTTCATCGTGCTCTCCAAAAGAAAGGCATATTTCGAATTCAGCACCCGAGCAATCCCCTCTTCTGTGCTCTTGACGAAGACACTCGGTTGCTTTGAGTGCATGTAGTTCCACATGCGCTGGTAAGTTTGATATCGGGAATTCTGATTGGGAAGAGGGAGGAGCAGAGCAAAAGGAGCTTTAATATGACAGATGGACCGTTTTCAGGCACCGGGTAGTAGAAAGATTTGCCCCTTTGTTACTTGTTCACGATCTGCGATTGCAAACTTTTTCCAAGGAACTTATAATAGAGGCATATATTTCTTCTCCTGCCTCTGGTTTATCTCCCCAGCAAATAGGCGTCCCTCAAAACGACGGGCAAATTGGTCTGTTTTTGCTTTGGCCTATCATTAGAATTATGAACCCTTATGTTGTAGCAGAGCCAGGAAAATAAGGCAGCTCTTAAGAAACTCTTTTTTAAAAAAAAAAAAACCAAAACACCCAAATTATACAAGCCAAGCTTTTCAAACATGGCAAGGCCAAGCCGGTCTCCTTTTTAAAAATAATGGTGGCCTTGCAGACTGCAGCAAGCTGGGCTTTTTGGATCAGGATAAAAAAGCAATTCTCAGAGATCTGTGCAAAGCAGATGTAGGTTTTCCCTTTTCTGTCATCAAGGCCTGCTACCTTGTCTGATGATTGATTTCCCTTCGCTAATGTCTCTCGGAGTAGAGACGGCTGCTGTTACTATGGATACAGGCTGCCAGAGGAAGGAAGGAAGGAAGGAAGGAAGGAAGGAAGGAAGGAAGGAAGGAAGGAAGGAAGGAAGGAAGGAAGGAAGGAAGGAAGGAAGGAAGGAGATCAAGGGGTGGGGAGGGGAGGAGAGGAGGGGAGGGCAGACAGGAGAGGAGAGGAAAGAAGAGAGAAGGGAAGGGAAGGGAAGGGATGGGAAGAGAAGAGATCCTAGTAGACTGACCAATAGACAGACTCAATCATTATTTCAACTGGGGAAGTGTGAGCTTCCTAGACCAAGCAAAATCCCAAAGCCACTAGGGAATTCCTGGAAACTCATCATTCAGACAAATCAGCCATTAACAGACACACAGAGATACACCACATTTGCACACCATTCGAAAGAGACAATAAAAAAAGCAAAAGATTAAAAGATTAGATGGGCAAATTTTTTTGGATATAATATAGAATTGGAGAAATCAGTGGAACAACCTGCCTCCAGAAGCAGTAAATGCTCCAACACTGGAAGTTTTTAAGAAGAGACTGGACAGCCATTTATCTGAAATGGTGTAGGGTTTCCTGCCTGAGCAGAGGGTTGGACTAGATGACCTCCAAGGTCCCTTCCAACTTTACTATTATTATTATTAAATGGGAAAAAATATGGGAAATAAACATAAAATTGACTATGTCAGCGGCATTCAAGGAAAACCAGTTGAAGATGTTTTACAGATGGCATCTTCCACCAGCAAAGCTTGCCAAGATGTTCCAGAACAATTCGCCAGCATGCTGGAAATGTAAAAAAGTACATGGAACATATTATCATTTATGGTGGACATGCCCAGTTGCGAAAAAATACTGGACTACAATAAGAAGATGGATCGAAGAAATAATAGACCAACCCATAGACTGGAAACCAGAAATCTTTTTGCTGTGTATTTTAAACAGAAAATATAGTAAAGAAATACAGTACTTAATTTTACATATAACAACGGCAGCAAGATTAGCATATGCACAGTTCTGAAAAAATGAGAATATACCATCAGAGGAAGAAGTGATAAGAAAAATCCTGGACTGTGCTGAGATGGACAAATTAACAAAAGAGATAAAAGAAAAGGAAGACACAGAGTATTATATAACATGGAACAAGTGGTATGACTGGTTGGAGACTAGAAATAATAGAGGAGAATAAATGTGGAAAGGTCAAAAGTGAAAATGTGTGTATAATAATGTATAATAATAATAATATGTATTACTCTTAGTATGAAGTACGGTATGAAGGAAGAAAAATGCAAATAAGAAACAACGTGGCAACAAGGACAAATATTCTAAAGAAGAATAAGGGGGGGAAATGTAAATAATAGAAGATTACCGTTATGAAATTGCCGTTAAAAAAAGGGGGAGGAGTATATACTGTGTGTGTATGTGTGTTTTGTTTTGTTTTGTTGGTTTAAAAATAAAAAAATTTAAAAAATCAAAGAAAGAAACAAAAAAGAACAGAACGCACCCACTCTAGAAGCCCACACCCAGCTAAGAAGGAGTTAACACCAGACAAACAATCAAGCAGAAAACAATGCCCTCATCAAAACACTACAGGGGTGTACAATGGTGGCCTTCAGAACTAATACGTGCGGACAATGGAGAACTATGAATCAACACCAGTTTTTCATTTCTTCAGGGAAACTATAAAAACTCCACTGTGCTCAACCACCTGGCAGCCTCCATCACCTAAGATCGCAGGGGTTTGGAGAAGAGAGCCTTCAGCAGCCCAGCTGTGCAAGGAAAAGAGAAAATGACACTCACCTGGAAAAAGGTCATGGTGGAACCAGCATGGATGGTGCCGTATTCGATGTTGGTTTGGTCAGCCAAGTCATCCGCCGATTCTATAGGCACCTCCATGCGCTGCACGGTGAGAAAGGCAGCAAGGTTGGCCGTGTAGGAAGAGATGATGATCAGAGTGAAGGCCCACCTTCGCAACAGCAACAAGGAAGCCCAGTTTGGTATTTTTTTTAGAGAGACAAGGACAAATCTCTACATTTCAACGTTCAACTTTTACTTACGGGCGCAAGTCTTGGCAAGACAACTCTTTCGATGTGTCTCCTAAGACGGCAGTTCTGAAAGCTTTCCAGCTTTGCAGACCAGTGGTGGTGGTGGAGGGGGAGGAGAAGAGATGGTTCTACCCAAGTAGCGGGTGAGTGTGCTCACATGCGCAGCTCCATTTGTGCCAACGGTGGGCGTGCGTGCCTACTGCTTGCACAAGTGGAGCTGTACATGCTGGCGTGCTCGTCCATCACTTGTGTGGACCAGTTTCAAATGGGCCACAGCTCAGGGGTTGGGGACTGATCCTAAGGCTTCCTGAGACAGTGAAAAAGGCACTCCTATACAGCTGCGTTTCTCAACCTTAGCAACTTGAAGCTATGTGGACTTCAACTCCCAGAATTCCCCAGCCAGCATGGGACCAAGTGATTCGCTCAATGACTACATGGTTTGCTTAACAACCAGTGGCTAGCTTTATGACCCTTGTAAAAACAGCAATTAAATCAGGTCGGGTCACATGTGACCTGATTAATGACTGCAATGACGTACAGTGGAAATTCTGGTGTCAACTGTGGTCATTAAGGAAGGGCTACCTGCATTGAAAAGAGCTAGAGATATAAAACAATAATAACTTCGTGGTGAAGCTGACACTTTCTTAAGCAGTACAGATAATCCTCGACGACACTGAAAAAAATGACTCATGACCGTTTTTCACACTTACGACCATTGCAGCCTCCCCATGATCAAAATTCAGACGCTTGGCAACTGACTCACATTTATGACGGTCACAGTGTCCCAGGATCATGTGACCCCCTTTTGCCAACTTCTGACAATCAAAGTCAATGGGGCAAGGCAGACTCCCTTAACAATTGTGTTCCTAACTTAACTGCAACGACTCATTTAACAACTGTGGCAAGAAAGGTCCTAAAATAGGGCAAAACTCACATAGCAAAATGTCTCGTTTAGCGACGGAAAGCTCGGGTTCAATTGTGGTCATAAGTCGAGGACTATCTGCAATCTGCTCTTAACTGACAAATCAAAGTTGGATGCCGTTAAAAACTTAATTATAAGTCAATAAATGTTACTAAGGTTTTTGAAGGAAAGACACGGCAACCTGGCACTCCAATAAAGAGGATTCATTATTTTTTTTTTTAAAAAAATATTGCCTATTGCATCAACATGTCAAAACCAATATGCCCTTAATGTACAATCCCACAGATGAAGTGTTGTTCTCAGCAATTAAAAATGTTCCCCACTGATTAATCAACTAAAGTTTTAGTGCCAATTAAGCCACCAATTAAGGATTGCAAAGCTCATTAGTATTCCTTTAAAAATGCTGAAATCTGTAGTGCTGGCATGACGTGTTTAAGAGGAGACTGTGTTCCAGAGTGGGGGGGGGGAAACAGCCACCACCATCCCCTAGACCTGGGGTGGGGAACCCTGGCTCTTTTAGGACTTGTGGACTTCAACTCCCAGAATTCCTGAGCCAGCCATGCTGAGGGGAAAGGGAGATGTTTCCATGCTGAGCCATGCTGGCTCAGGAATTCTGGGAGTTGAAGTCCACGAGTCATAAAAGAGCCAAGGTTGCCCACCCCTGTCCTAACCTCATCCCTCAGGACAGGGTGGGAACTATGGCAACTTTATGACTCGTGGACTTCAACTCCCAGAATTCCTGAGCCAGCCATGCTGAGGAAAAAGGGAGAGGTTTCCATGCTGAGCCATGCTGGCTCAGGAATTCTGAGAGTTGAAGTCCACAAGTCATAAAAGAGCCAAGGTTGCCTACCCCTGCACTACACATTAAATATTTCAAGGAAGGTGGCAGATAAAATGGTGATTTTTCCAAACCTGTTGCAAATTTGACACAGCTGGTCCTCCCCTTACAACAGTTTGTTTAGTGACTGCTCAGTTACAACGGTGCTGAAAAATGCGACTTATGACTGTTTTTTCACACTTACGACCGTTACAGTGTCCCCTAGGGTCACATGATCAAAATTCAGACGCTTGGCAACTGACTCTTATTGATGACAGTCACAGCGTCCCGGGGTCATGTGATCCCCTTTGGCGATTGTCTGACACGTAAAGTCAGCGTGGGAAGCCAGCTTCACTTCACAATTGTGTGACTGACTTAAACAACTTAAACAATGATTCGCTTAGCCAATGTGGCAAAAAAAAAAGAAAAGAAATGTCGTAAAATGGGGCCAAACTCCCTCAACAAATGTCTCACTTAGCAACAGAAAAGTTGGGCTCAACCATTGTCATGAGTCAAGGGCTATTTGTACCCCTTGCTGTCTTTTTTTGGCAGGTTGTGTTCTGCACAATTTCTCTCCTTCAGCCAGCTTGGTTGTTAAGTCGCACAACCGCTTACCAGACCCCGCTGACGCAACGGGTGGAAAGTGCTCGTGGCATGATTTCGGATCCTTGTTGCATGAAGCCCCCAACTGGGAACCAGAGGCTGTTGCCCAGCGTGTACTGGTTTTCCAGGATGTTGTTGTGACGCTCCCGGAGACAAGGATGAGGGTTGTACCATTCGTAAGGGCTCAGCCTGCGTAAGGAAGAAACACAGCAGACTTTTTTCCTTATTCATTTATTACATTTATACACCTTCCTTCTGCAAAATGGGTCTTCTAGCCTTGTTACTTTCAGCAGCCAGGTATGAAAGATCAGGTCCTCCCAAGGACAACTGACACTGATTTACAGGGTAGTCCTCGTCTTAGGTGCTGGCATGATGTGTTTATAAGAGGAGACTGTGTTCCAGAGAAGGGAAAAACAACTATCACATCCCCTAGACCAAGGGTGGGGAACCTTGGTTCTTTTATGACTCGTGGACTTCAACTCCCAGAATTCCTGAGCCAGCCATGCTGAGGGAAAAGGGAGAGGTTTCCACGCTGAGCTATGCTGGCTCAGGAATTCTGGGAGTTGAAGTCCACGAGTCATAAAAGAGCCAAGGTTGCCCACCCCTGTCCTAACCTCATCCCTCAGGACAGGGTGGGACCTATGACAACTGTATGACTCGTGGACTTCAACTCCCAGAATTCCTGAGCCAGCCATGCTGAGGAAAAAGAGAGAGGTTTCCATGCTGAGCCATGCTGGCTCAGGAATTCTGGGACTTGAAGTCCACGAGTCATAAAAGAGCCAAGGTTGCCTACCCCTGCCCTACACATTAAATATTTCAAGGAAGGTGGCAGATAAAACAATGGTGATTTTTCCAAACCTGTTGCAAATTCGATACAGCTGGTCCTCCACTTACAACAGTTTGTTTAGTGACCGTTCATAGGGAGTACTTACCGAGCAGCTAGAAAGAGGACACAACTGACTGCCAGATAGGCAAGAAGCATGAAAAGCCAAACAGCTGGGGAGAACGGGTCAAGGAAGGAGAAATACCCCGGTTTGCGTCCCTATTAAAAAAAAAAAAGGATTAGAAGTACACTAAAGTATTTCTGAATTTCCTAATAACAAGCATAGTTCCAAAGAGTGAATTGCATTAAATTAGTTTTTCCACAAACTTATCAACTTCTAGATGCGTGGATATGTCTCGCTCTCTGTGTCTGTGTCTGTATACCTCCAAATCATTCTTGACCCCTGTCAACTAAATAAGACAAGTCCTGTTTTGAGATTTGTTTTGGAAATGACTTGCAATTGCTTTCTTCCGCTGGCCCAAACTCACCCGGTTAACTTGGTGTCCAAGGCAGGACTAGAACTCCCCGCTGCAATGATTTTCTACTCCAGCGTCCTTAGTCCCTGCACCAAATTGGTTCTCTATGGGTGGACTTAAGTTTCAGAATTCCAGGCCTGACTGGGGAATTCTAGGAGTTGAGGTCCATACAGTTGGAAGACTCCAAGTTGAGGGACTTCCCACCTTAAATATAGCATTATGTTTAATACAGTGGTTCTCAACCTGTGGGTCGGGACCCCATTTGGGGTCAAACGACCATTTCACGGGGGTCGCCAAACAACGCAGTCCGCCATTTTTTCCCCTTTTCCTTAGCTGTGCTACTCCCTTTTATTCTATTGGCTTTTGAAAGCCAATAGAATAGACTCTCTTGAATAGAGTCTAATTCTATTGGATTTCAAAAGCCAATAGGAATTGTCCAGGCTGTCTCTGCCCTGCTGAGCCCGCCAAAAGTCCCATTCTGCAAACGGTGCTGCACCAGTTGAGTAGTCCTCGACTTACGACCAGTTGAGTAATCCTCGACTTACGACCGGGTGGGGGTCGCGGCGTTAAAAAGGTTGAGAACCACTGGTTTAATAGGTGCCATTTTGTCGCCACGTTTTGACTCAATGGAACTGACGTTAAGGCAGGGGTGTCAAACTCAATTTCATTGAGGGCCGCATCAGCATTGCGGTTGCCCTCAGGGGCTGGGTAGGTGTGGCCAGAATGGGTGCGGCCTACTGGGTGGGTGTGGATGGAGTGGGTGTGGCCTACTGGGTGGACATGGTCAGCTCTACATCGTTCGTGTCAAGGGTGCCTGTGGGGGCCTGGGCAGGAGTGGGACAGATCTGAGGGTTTCTGGCAGAAGGGGGTGGGACCGGGGCAAGTGCCAAAGCATGGTCCATTGGAGGAGCCTCACTGCCTGCTGAAACCTCTCCCCTGGAGCCAATCAAGCCAGATATGTGAAGTAGGCGAGGGCCATTTGCTGGCCACTTCCAGGCGATGGTGCATTTCTTCATTCCTCACAAAGGGTGACACCTCTCCATCATGCACCAGGGGGCTAGTTCCTCGCTGTTTCCAGATGGCCTTGTGGAGCTAAGACTGAATGTGTTTCAGCATAGATGGCCACCACAAAATTGTACATTGGCTCCTGGCTGGCCTGGGCCAGGGCCAAGGCAGTGGGGGCCATTCCCTCACTGTTTCCAGGATGGCTTCGCGGGCCACATGAAGCCACTTTGCGGGCCGCATCAGGCCCCCAGGCCTTGTGTTTGACATGTCTGCATTAAGGCGTGGAGTGAGTGATCCCCACAGCGCTCTTCCCGGTCGTCAGATAATCCCCCACTCTTCTTCCCCCCACTTGAAGGCGGAGTTGTACTTACCAGGTGTACACGGTACAAGATGCTGATTCCCAAGGTCATGAATGGCTTGGAGAAGTCAATGACCTTCTCCCGTTCGGCTGTGATGGTGAAGGCAGCCACCGCCAGATCGGCTTTCTGAAGGACAAAGCACAGGAAATGTTAATTGCCTCACAAGACACAGAGACGGTCTACATTAGTGGTTCTCAACCTTTTTAATGCCGCGACCCCCAACCGGTCGTAAGTTGAAGACTACTCAACCGGTCGTAAGTCGAGGACTACTCAACTGGTGCAGCACCGTTTGCAGAATGGGACTTTTGGCGGGCTCAGCAGGGCAGAGACAGCCTGGACAATTCCTATTTGCTTTTGAAAGCCAATAGAATTAGGCTCTATTCAAGAGAGTCTATTCTATTGGCTTTCAAAAGCCAATAGAATAAAAGGGAGTAGCACAGCTAAGGAAAAGGGGGGGAAAAATGGCGGACTGCGTTGTTTGGCGACCCCCGTGAAATGGTCGTTCGACCCCAAATGGGGTCCCGACCCACAGGTTGAGAACCACTGGTCTACATTTTCATTGGCTGGCTGGAACCCAAGCAAAGATGATAGGTAGTCCTCGATTTACGACAGTTCATTTAGTGACCATCCAAAGTTGCAACAGCCCTGAAAAAAACTGACTTACGACTTAGTTTTTCAGACTGACAACCGTTGCATCGTCCTCAGGGTCACGTGATCAAAATTCAGAGGCTTGGCAACTGACTCGTAGTTATGACGGCTGCAGTGTCTCGGGGGGGTCATGTGATCCCCTTTTGTGACCTCCCGGACTAACAAAATCAATGGGGAAGCTGGACTTACTTAACAACTCGCGTTACTAACTTAACAATGGCAGGGATTCACTTAACAATGGTGGCAAGAAAGGTCGAGAAATGGGACAAAGTCACTTAACAACTGCTTCACTTAGCAGCAGAAATGTTGGGCTCAACTGTGGTCGTAAATCGAGGACTGCCTGTATTCTTCAAAGGGATCGGGGGTCAATCGTGATGGACGACGTTTTTGCTGGAATCCACCATTTTGTGCTGTAAATGGACGTTTATGTCAAAAAAAAGGCCCCATAGTGAACAGTGGGCGCTTAACGACTGAGGCACTCACTTTACGATGCCATGTTTGCTTAATGACCATTTCAAAAAAAAAAAGGTCCTAAAATCAGGCATGTGATGACCTGCTTTAACAACCATGACTTAGAACTGGAATTGCAGTCGTAAGTCAAGAACTATCCATATCAATTAATACAGGTAGTCCTCAAATTATGACGACAATTAAGTCCAAAGTTTCTGTTGCTAAGCGAGACATTGGTTAAGCAAGTTTTCCCCCATTTTTATGACCTTTCTACCACAGTTCTTAAGTGAACCACTGCTATTGTTAAGTTAGTAACACGGTTATAAAGTGGTTTCCCCATTGACTTTTCTTGTCAGAAGGTTGTAAAAGAGGATCCTTGACCCCAGGACAACCGTCATAAATATGAATCAGTTGCCAAGCCTCTTGAATTTCGATCACGTGACCCTTGGGATTGCTGCAACAGTTGTAAGTGTGATAAACAGTCCTAAGTCGCTTTTTACAGTTGAGGTTTATCTGTAATTTGATTATTTTAACTGCACTGATCTGAAGCACCAGATCTTGCCTGCAGAAATCTCAAAAACCACTAGAAAAGTGACAGAGAGATGCAGTATATATATATATGTGTGTGTGTGTGTGTGTGTGTGTGTGTGTGTGTGTGTGTGTGTGTGTATGTATATATATCTTTGCTGCTTTCTTGTAGTTATCCAAATGAGTCCAGATCTGGTTCGCCTACTACTGAGTAATAGTGAGTCATTTTACAGACAGCCTTTCGGTGCAGGCTAAATGCACCCACAAACAAATGTTCAACCCATTCAGATCCTCGAAGCAGAGATGCCGTTTTTGTTACTCTCTTTTGTGGTAAGAGAAAAAGCAAAAAGCAAGCCGGCATCAGCTCTGCCAGAAGAAGCATCACGGAGAAAATATCCTAGCCAAGGTTGCTAGCAAATAGCTTTCTACCTACAGGGAGCTGTTATCAGATCTGTTTGCTTATTTATCGTTTTTCTGCTGCTGCACGAAGCTGACGTTTGTGAGGGATAGGGGGGGAAAGCACCATTAAGCCCACATTTTTCTGAAAAGACCAGAATTGAATAGCCATGCAGAACGGATAGATCCACTTAACTGCTGATGCACCAAAGTGGCATGCATTGATCTCCCCCATCCTTCATCCTTAGGAACCAGTAAGATTCTGGTTTCTAAAAGCAACCTGCTTTCCACATACAATGTTACAGTTAAGGACTATCTGGTTAGTGGAAATTTTTGTAGGGGAAAAAAACGAGGCTGGGGGTGAGTGGGCTTTTCCTAACAGCCCTACCCTGTTGATGAGTTCTCCCACCATGCCAGTCCAAGATCCATTAGGTTCAGGCGCCCCATAAAGTCCATCTTCCACCAGTTTGATCTGGAAACGGAACTTAAGGATGTCGGCAAGCTCGTGAAGCATGTCCACGCAGAAACCTTCGTACTGGGCGGCACCAGACAGTTCCTGGAAGTTTGCCCGACGCATCACGTATGGGTTTTCCTGTTAAGAATGAAACCCAGGATATATTATGAGGTAGCATGCACTGGCTGGGGAATTCTGGGAGTTGAAGTCCACAAGTCTTAAAGAGACCTTTGAGCTAGTAGATAACAGGCAACTGTCCTCAAGATCTTACATATTTTTGACAGGAGAACCTCAAACCCAAATCAACTTCCAGCTCAATATCCCAATAAAAGTCCAGGATTATTTTTTGTTTCTGAAAAGCTGTTTATTGAATAGATGACCTGGTTAAGGCGAGGTAAAACTAACTCTAAAGTCCCAAGGCATCAGACCATAGCATATAACAGTGGTGGCGAACCTATGGCACACGTGCCAGAGGCGGCACTTGGAGCCCTCTCTGTGGGCACACATGCCATTGCCCCAGCCTCGTCTCCCCCCATGCCCCCCTCCTTATCAGCAGCCCCCCTGGAGAAGAGTCGCCCCCGAGCGTGGCCCACGCGGAGCAGCACAGCCAAGGACATGGCAGCCAGGCAGCGTAGACAAGACTCTGCCCTCACGCCCCATCGCGTACAGTTGATGCTGCGGGATGCGGGCAGAGGGTGTGGCCGTCATGGCACTTCTGGGCTGCCTGGACGATCTGCGGCAGGTCCTGGAGGCGGTGAGTGGCCCTGCGGGCAGGTGTGGGGGGGGGCAAGGTAGGAGGTGGAGCAAGGGCAGGGCTAGTTTTTGGGCACTCGGTCTCTAAAAGGCTCGCCATCACTGGCATATAACAATGACTTTCTCAGCCAACCCGCCCCAGATGTCTATATAGCTCATGTAAACATCTTCTCTTTGTTATAGGAATCGTCTGTTATCTCCTTCACACCTGCTAGAACAGTGGTTCTCAACCTTTCTAATGCCGTGACCCCATAATACAGTTCCCCATGTTGTGGTGACCCCCAAGTGGGTGTGGCCACCAATAAGAGGGAGTAGGATAGCTAGGGAAAAGGGAAAAAATGGTGGACAGCGTGGTTTGGCGACCCCCGTGAAATGGTCGTTCGACCCCAAATGGGGTCCCGACCCACAGGTTGAGAACCACTGTGCTAGAATGTCCTTGAAAGGTTTCCATACTGCAGACTCTCTGCAAGCTTCCGTAGAACTGGAGAGGTTTCGTTTAACTAACCCATTCAAAAGCAACACCTCCCCCCTCCCTCACTCTAAATGGCAAAATGAACACAGAGAGGCACCCAGCTTCCCAATTTTCCCTCTTGACACATACATACAGTAATATTCCTCCTTCTTCCTATTTTTCCCCACAAAAACAACCCGTTGAGGTGGTTGGGTTGAGAGTAGGTGACTGGCCCAAAGTCACCCAGTTGGCTTTCATGGATAAGGCGACACTAGAACTCAGAGCCTGCTGCTGATTGGCCCAAAGTCCCCCAGCCACCTTTCATGTCTAAGGCAGGACTAGAGTTCACTATCTCCTGGTTTATAGCCCAGCACCTTAATCATTAGGCCAGGGGTAGGCAACCTTGGCTCTTTTATGACTCGTGGACTTCAACTCCCAGAATTCCTGAGCCAGCCATGCTGAGGGGAAAGGGAGAGGTTTCCATGCTGAGCCATGCTGGCTCAAGAATTCTGGGAGTTGAAGTCCACAAGTCATAAAAGAGCCAAGTTTGAAGACCCCTGGTTTAAATATTTAAATATTTTTCCTCACAGTCACGTGATCAAAATTCAGGCATTTGGGCAGGGGCAGGCAACCTCAGCTCTTTTATGATTCGTGGACTACAACTCCCAGAATTCCTGAGCCAGCCATGCTGAGGGGAAAGGGAGAGGTTTCTAATCTGAGCCATGCTGACTCAGGAATTCTAGGAGTTGAAGTCCACCAGTTATAAAAGAGCCAAGGTTGCCTACCCCTGGTCTAGACTTAGTGTTTCTCATCCTTGGCCACTTGACGATGGGAGGACTTCAACTCCCAGAATTCCTGAGCCAGCCATGCTGAGGGGAAAGGGAGAGGTTTCCAAGCTGAGCCATGCTGGCTCAGGAATTCTGGGAGTTGAAGTCCACCAGTTATAAAAGAGCCAAGGTTGCCTACCCTTGCACTAGGCCAAACTGATTCTCTGAAGCTATCTAATGAGAAGAGTTGCAGCAGACAGTGGATAGGGTTGCTATTCCTTTTTCCCAGGCCTACCCTCTTTCTCTTTCTCTATTTCTCTCTTTCCCTTCCCATTCATCAGCCTACTAGAGGAAGGAGCCATGTTCCCCCCCCCATAAATCTCTCCTGACCATTTACACAGCACTTCTGAATTAGTTCAAGAGCGCCTGATTCTCTGTCTCTATTCTGTCCTCAATATTCTGATGAATGTTTTAGAGGAATCGGCCGCACCCCTCCACATCATAACAACCCAACAATCTGCGCCTTTTGTTTCCCTGTGCCCATTCCTATGCAGAAGGACCCGCGCCTCTTTTGTGCATGAAAATCACAGTCACAATCACAGCTCTTCACTAATTTGCTTGATTCTTTTTTTTCCCCTCCTCAACTGAAGCATGTTTGTCATCAGTCCATTGTTGGGAAGCGCACGCCAGACATTAATTATTGTTTGCCCATCACAACCACCATCCCATTTTTAACCTAAGATGAGCCGGAAGAGTTTGACCGTTTCAAGCAGCAGTTTCAACTATTTCTTTGGAAGTGAAGAACTACTGCAAACTATTTGGAGGAATGAAGTATGTCACGATGTAAAAAAGATGTTGAGACTCTAGAGCAGTGGTTCTCAACCTGTGAGTCAGGACCCCATTTGGGGTCGAATGACCATTTCACGGTGGTCACCAAACAACACAGTCCGCCATTTTTTTCCCCCTTTTCCTTAGCTGTGCTACTCCCTTTTATTCTATTGGCTTTTGAAAGCCAATACAATAGATTCTCTTGAATAGAGTCTAATTCTATTGGCTTTCAAAAGCCAATAGGAATTGTCCAGGCTGTCTCTGCCCTGCTGAGCCCGCCAAAAGTCCCATTCTGCAAACGGTTCTGCACCAGTTGAGTAGTCCTTGACTTACGACCGGTTGAGTAGTCCTCGACTTACAACCGGTTGGGGGATCGCGGCATTAAAAAGGTTGAGAACCACTGCTCTAGGAAGAGTGCCGAGAAGAGCAACAAAGATGTTTAGGGGGCTGGAGGCGAAAACATAAACGAAGAACGGTTGCATGAATTGGGTATATCTAGTTTAATGAAAAGAAGGACCAGGGGTGACAGGATAGCAGCGTTCCAATATCTCAGGGGTTGCCATAAAGAAGAGGGGATCAATCTATTTTCCAAAGCAGGAGAGGAAGCAACAGATGGAAATTAATCAAGGAGAGAACTAAAAGAGAACAGACCATTTTTTTGCTGTGGGAGCCTCACTTTTCCACATGAAGAGTTAAACAAGCTAAAACTCTCTTGTGTTTACATCTCCAGGGGCTCAGTTATCTTTCGCATCCATGGCTGACTTTCACCGAGTCATCTACACCAGGGGTCCCCAACCCCCAGTCTGTGGACCAGTACTGGGCCGCAGCATGCCAGCAACCGGTCCACACAAACAAGCAAAGTCCCATCCGTGGGATGCAGGCAGCACACAAAAACACGCATCTTCCGGTCCGCAGAAAAACCTCTCTCCAAGGAACTGGTCCCTGGTGCCCAAAAGGTTGGGGAGCTTTGATCTACACAGCTATTTAAACCCTGCTTTTAAAAAGATGGAGAAATGTCACTAAAGAGTAAAGCAAGGAAGGCACTTACCAAGATGGTGGTGACCACCAGGGTCTTGTTGGCAAGGCTCTCTGAGGCATTGATATCCAACGTTGTGGCATTCATTGCAAGCGTTTTGTTCGAGTACCACACCCCAATCTGTCGAGACAGAAGCCAGGGTTATAGGTTCTTGCTAGATTTATCCTGCATACAGATAGTCTTGGACTTATGACCACAATCAAACCCAACATTGACTCTGACCCCGTTTTACAACCTTTCTTGCCATAGCTGTGGTCAGAAAGTGAATCACAGCAGTTAAGTATGTAACCCAGTTGCTAAATGAATCTAGCTTCTCCATTGACTTGGCTTGTCAGACGGTCACAAAAGGGGATCACGTGATCCCCAGGGACGCTGCAACCGTCATAAATCTGAGTCAGTTGCCAAGCCTCCGAATTTTGATCACCTGACCCTGGGGATGCTGCAACAGTCGTTAAGTATGAAAAATGATCACTGTCAGATCCCTAAATCCTTATTGTCTCCCTTTCATATATATATTCTTGTGCTTTGCTTTGGGGCCTGCCATTTAACTGGGGGGGGGAGGATATGTGCTTTCACTTGGGGTGACTTTCGCTTTCTGCTTTCTTCTTCCACCTCTATCCACTTGAGAAAGGAATGTGTCTCCCTTATCGGGGAGACGGTTACAGAGAAACGAAAGCTGGAGAAGACCTTGAGATGTTGAGACTCTAGAAAGAGTACAGAGAAGAGCAACAAAGATAATCAGGAGACTGGAGGCTAAAACATATAAGGAACAGTTGCTGGAATTGGGTATGTCTAGTTTAACAAAGAGAAGGATGAGGGGGGACATGATAGCAGTGTTCCAATATCTCAGGGGCTGCCCCAAAGAAGAGGGAGCCAAGCTATTCTCCAAGGCGCCTGAAGGCAGGATGAGAAGCAACGGATGGAAACTGATCAAGGAGAGAAGCAACCTAGAACTAAGGAGAAACTTCCTGACAGTTAGAACCATTGGAGCATTCACCGCTTCTGGAGGCAGGTTGTTAACCAATGGAACAACCTGCCTCCAGAAGCGGTGAATGCTCCAACACTGGAAGTTTTTAAGAAGAGACTGGACAGCCAATGGTATAGAGCAGTGATTCTCAACCTTTCTAATGCCGTGACCCCATAATACAGTTTCCCATGTTGTGGTGACCCCTAAGTGGGTGTGGCCACCAATAAGAGGGAGTAGGAAAAAGGAAAAAATGGTGGACAGCATGGTTTGGCGACCCCCGTGAAATGGTCATTCGACCCCAAATGGGGTCCCGACCCATAGGTTGAGAACCACTGGTATAGAGTCTCCTGCCTGAGCAGGGGATTGGACTAGATGACTTCCAAGGTCCCTTCCAACAACTACTACTACTACTACTACTACTACCAAGGTCCCTTCCAACAACTACTACTACTACTTATTATTATTATTATTGATCATCGCACAGTCAGCCAGATGTTTTTATTATTATTATTATTATTATTATTATTATTATTATTATTATTATTATTATGCGCGCCAACTGTGCCAGTTACCTGCTCATTGTGCCACCTGTGGATCGGCTGGATTACAAATGGACATTATGACTTTGGTGGGAGGAGGACTACTGCTAGCTTAACTACACTGTTTGCACGGGTTTTTCCCCAGATCTCGCCTTGACTTCCTTACTGTCACCGACCCCTAATAAAAGCTTCCTTTTGAGACAATGCCTGTTTCAAGAGTTTTGCTTTCTTGGGTAGTTAGCTGAGATGGTCCCTTACAATCACTTTGGTTAGTGCCGTTGTGACTTTAAACAGTCACAAAACAAATGGTTCTTAAGTCGAGGGCCACCTGTGATCTCCTTTGCAAAAACAAGAGCGCCCTAAGCTCAAGCTCTAATCGTCTTACCTCCCGGTGTCCGTGTCGACTTTTTTCCAGAATTCTCAGGGTATAATTAGTTCTTTGACCCTTGCTGTTGAATTCCACGTGTCCCGTCAGCCCGTCATACTCTACCTAGCCAGGGATGGAGAGACAGAGGAATGGGGTGCAAATCGAAGAAGACAGAGAGAAGAACACAGGAGAATGGGAGTGAGGCAGGGCCCAAACTGGTTCACAAGTTATAATTAGCTTGAGAAGGAAGAACTCCGGATCCTTTCATCTCCCAAATAAGGAAAGGGACTATCCCGTGTCCTAGGTAGGCAACCTTAGCTCTTTATGACTTGTGGACTTCAACTCCCAGGATTCCTGAGCCAGCCATGCTGAGGGGAAAGGGAGAGGTTTCCATGTTGAGCCATGCTGGCTCAGGAATTCTGGGAGTTGAAGTCCACGAGTCATAAAAGAGCCAAGGTTGCCTACCCCTGTCCTACCTCAGTGTTCTCCAGACATGGGCACTTTCAGACTTGTGGACTTCAACTCCCAGAATTCCTGAGCCAGCCATGCTGAAGGGAAAGGGAGAGGTTTCCATGTTGAGCCATGCTGGCTCAGGAATTCTGGGAGTTGAAGTCCACGAGTCATGAGGGGGCCATAGTTCCCCCATGCTGGCTCAGGAATTCTGGGAGTTGAAGTCCACGAGTCATGAAGGGGCCATAGTTCCCCCATGCTGGCTCAGGAATTCTGGGAGTTGAAGTCCACCCATCTCCAGTGGCCAAGGTTGAGAAATACAGGCCTAGCCCTAGGGGTAGGCATCCTTGGCTCTTTTGTGACTCATGGACTTCAACTCCCAGAATTCCTGAGCCAGCCATGCTGAGGGGAAAGGGAGAGGTTTCCAAGCTGAGCCATGCTGGCTCAGGAATTCTGGGAGTTGAAGTCCACGAGTCATAAAAGAGCCAAGGTTGCCTACCCCTGTCCTACCTCAGTGTTCTCCAGACATGGGCACTTTCAGACTTGTGGACTTCAACTCCCAGAATTCCTGAGCCAGCCATGCTGAAGGGAAAGGGAGAGGTTTCCATGTTGAGCCATGCTGGCTCAGGAATTCTGGGAGTTGAAGTCCACGAGTCATGAGGGGGCCATAGTTCCCCCATGCTGGCTCAGGAATTCTGGGAGTTGAAGTCCACGAGTCATGAGGGGGCCATAGTTCCCCCATGCTGGCTCAGGAATTCTGGGAGTTGAAGTCCACCCATCTCCAGTGGCCAAGGTTGAGAAATACAGGCCTAGCCCTAGGGGTAGGCATCCTTGGCTCTTTTGTGACTCATGGACTTCAATTCCCAGAATTCATGAGCCAGCCATGCTGAGGGGAAAGGGAGAGGTTTCCAAGCTGAGCCATGCTGGCTCAGGAATTCTGGGAGTTGAAGTCCACGAGTCATAAAAGAGCCAAGGTTGCCTACCCCTGTCCTACCTCAGTGTTCTCCAGACATGGGCACTTTCAGACTTGTGGACTTCAACTCCCAGAATTCCTCAGCCAGTCTACAAGTCTTCAAATGCCCACGTTCGGAGACCACTGACCTAGGACATGGGATAATCTGGCTGGCTGAGGAATTCTGGGAGTCGAAGTCCACAAGTCTTAAAGTGGCCATTTCCTAGCCAGTGATCTAGGAAATGTGACCTAGGAAATTCTCTGAGGAATGGGTGGTTGAAGATTTCTGGGAGATGAAGTCCACAAGTCTTAAAGTGGTCAAGTTTGGAGACCCCTGTCCTAAATTGTGCCACAGAAATGTGGTAATAAAATAGCCTTAGAGGGTTTTTTTTTCCCCCTTGCCAATACAACTGTATGGTCGCGTTTGGACAATATAGTTAACACAATCGGCAGCTAGATTCACCCAAAATGCTAAATTTGGATAGTTTTATCTCTGGTGATCGAATTGTGCACATCCACTCCGTTGAATAAATTTGCCATTCATTGTTGCAAGGGCAGAAAAGTCAGTGGCCAGATGTCTCTTAAGGGGACCTCCGAGCAATTGGCGTATTTGCTCCAGCTGAGAACATCTGACCTTTGTTTGGGCAAATCGAACAAGACAGCCATCAACGCTTACACAATCATGTCACATATTTCCATGGTTTGTTTTGCTTTTTCAAAAAGGGAGGAGGGAACTGTCGTTCTAGGAGCAGCAGGGTCTCACCATGCGCAGATAGTTCATCAAACTGGTTCCATGTTGCCAGATGTTAGCTGATGTGCAAGCCAGGGGCTTAACCCCAATCTCCTGGCTACGGTTCAATTCCCGCACGGCACTCACAACCACATGTACTGCGTCAAACATGAGGGCTGCTGATAACTGGAGGGGAACAAAAATAATTTGGCTGTTGCTAATTATGGCATTCGGCAGAGGGAGGGGCACAGACAGGGGCACTTCCTTGCTACCCTGTTCTTCCAAAGCTATTCTTGCTTTGACTACCACACTAAAACATCTGTGCAGCTGCAGAGGTGGGTTGGGTGAGTCAGATAGTAAGCGTGGATGTGCTCCACCAGGATGAAGTCAACCTGATCTTGAACAATTTCTCGAAGGCAACAGTGGAGGAGTGTTTATCCTGAAGCTCAGCTGAACAGAAATAATTTTAGTTGGAAGTAGTTAGGAATCTAGGCAGTTAAGCATCTATGCCTTCCTGGTTGACTTCAGCTGTGTTCTTCAACCCAACATCCTTTATTCCTCAACCCAATACTCCATCCTTCCTCAAGCCAACATCATTGTTCCTCAACTCAATAATCTATCTTTTCTCAACCCAACAATCCATTCTTCCTCAACCCAACATCCTTCCTTCAGATGTGCTGAGGAGAACTGAAGACCGTTGAAAAGACATAGATTCCTAACTACATAGATTCCTAACTTCACCTTTCTTCAACCCAACATTCTTCAGATGTTAAAACGGCCAGACATATTTCCAACTCAGAATTTCAGCCAATGTCAAAAATGAACACCCATCAAAGATATCTGAAAAGCATAAGGTGGGGAAGTCTCTTTCAATGAACAGCCGTGCAAATAAACCTTGCTTATTTACAATGTCATATTAATTTCCATCTTCAAGACAGCAGTCATTGTTTTAGCAGTTAAGAAGACTTTGCTTGTCTTTCTCTTCCCCTTAACGAGCTACAAATTATGACATATGATGGGCTGAGCAAAGCTAACTCTAACTTCGGATCAAGGCAAGTCAGAGACAACTTTTTTACAGGCTTTTTAATTGCTTGCCAAGTTTATTTAATAATATCAGAGGCTCGGTTGATTTCCATATAGGAAGAAATTGAAAACAGAGTTAGGGAAGGTTGAGGCTAAAGATCCTATTGTCCTTTCTGTAGAATTGAGGTTAGGCTCCCAAACAGACATTCCGAAAAGTGGGTTCTTGTTACCAGCAAATGACAATCGTTGACAAACCCATCACAGATCTGCAGACATTCCTTTCTAAAGCTTCTGAAGGTCATAATTCTCCAAAGAGAAGGATGATGGATATTCATTTACCCTCTCCAATCATGCCAAATATGTAGGAGTTTCCAAACTTGGCAACTTTTAAGACTTGTGGACTTCAACTCACAGAATTCCTCAACTGGTTGTTGAAGATAAGGAAGCTGAAGTCCACAAGTCTTAAAGTTGCCAAGTTGGAGACCCTCGATGTAGAGCAGGGATCCTCAAACTTGGCCACTTTAAGACTTGTGGACTTCAACTCCCAGGATTCCCCAGCCAGCCCTGCTGGCTGGGGAATTCTGGGAGCTGAAGTCCACAAATCTTAAAGTGGCCAAGTCTGAGGACCCCTGATGTAGAGGAACCCCAAAAGGTTATGATGACTGTCTGGTTGCTATTCTGTCGCGCCCTTTGTAAGAAGAGGTGCACCGTCTTTTCAAATCCCGCGGTCCTTATTTAGCTAGAAAATCTTTCCCACTCATGCACACGTATTGTCCTCTCTCCTTCCCCATGCTGGATTGTCACACTTACTGCCGGTCCTGGGTAAAGATTGAGTTCACAGTTCTCCCGCCATGACATGTTGAGGCTGCGGACAAATTCCAGGTAGAAAGGGTGGCTGGTGTTGAACATGGAGAAGCCCAGGACGTTGGAATGTTCATCCACGATTCCATCCAAGTGCAAGATTGGAAAGTCCTGGAAGGATTGTGAAAGTGTTAGTGGGTCCTTTCTCTTTAACATACATTCGAAAAGTCAACGGAGATCAGCCTGGAAAAATGCTATAAAAGAGGGAGACTTCAAAGGAATAGGAAAGAGAAACATGGAAGATGATGATAATAATAATAATAGTAGTAGTAGTAGTAGTAGTAGTAGTAAAGTTGGAAGGGACTTTGGAGGTCATCTAGTCCATCCCCCTGCTCAGGCAGGAAACCCTATACCATTTCGGACAAATGGCTGTCCAGTCTCTTCTTAAAAACTTCCAGTGTTGGAGCATTCACCGTTTCTGGAGGCAGGTTGTTCCACTGGTTAATTGTTCTAACTGTCAGAAAGATTCTCCTTAGTTCTAGGTTGCTTCTCTCCTCGGTTAGTTTCCACCCGTTGCTTCTTGTCCTGCCTTCAGGCACTTTGGAAAATAGCTTGACTCCCTCTTCTTTGGGGCAGCCCCTGAGATACTGGAACACTGCTATCATGTTCTCCCCTCGTCCTTCTCTTCATTGAACTAGACATACCCAATTCCAGCAGCCGTTCCTTATATGCTTTAGCCTCCAGTCCCTAATCATCTTTGTTGCTCTTCTCTGTACTCTTTCTAGAGTCTCAACATCTTTTTTACAGCGCGGTGACCAAAACTGGATGCAATATTTCAAATGTGGTCTTACCAAGGCATTGTAAAGTGGTATTAACACTTCATGTGATCTTGATTCTATCCCTCTGTTAATGCAGCCTAGCACTGAGTTGGCCTTTTTGGCAGCTGCAGCACACTGCTGGCTCATATTTAGGTGATTGTCCACTAGGACTCCGAGGTCCCTCTCACAGTTACTACTATTGAGCAAGGTACCCCCTATACTATATCTGTGCATTTGGTTTTTCTTGCCTAAATGTAGAAACTTGCTTTTTTCACCACTGAATTTCATTTTGTTAGACAGTGCCCAGTGTTCAAGTCTGTCCAGATCTTTCTGTATCTTAAGACTATCTTCTGGAGTGTTGGCTATTCCTGCCAGCTTGATGTTGTCTGCAAATTTGATGAGTTCCCCATCTATCCCCTCGTCCAAATCGTTGATAAAGATGTTGAAGAGCACTGGGCCTAGAACAGAGCCCTGGGGCACCCCACTACCCACTTCCCTCCATGTAGTTGCAGTTCCATTGAGGTCCAATTGCTGAGTACGGCTGGTCAGCCAGCTACGGATCCATCTGGTGGTGATGCTGTCTATCTCTAGATGACCTAGAGATCGGCGCTAAGATGCCATTACATGTAATCCTCGACTTAAACTCTTTGTTTAGAGACTGTTAAAAAAAAGTGAACACTGAAAAACATGGATTACGACTAGTCCTCACACATATGAGGACCACCGTTCCATGATCAAAATTCAGCTGCTTGGCAACTGCTATGTATGCACAACGGTTGCAGGATCCCAGGGTCATGTGATTGCCATTTGTGATCATCCCAGCTGACCTCTGAAAAGCAAAGTCAACGTGGGAAGCCAGATTCGCTTAATGCCTGCATGATTCACTTAACAACTATGGCAAAGAAGATTGTATGAACAGAACAGAACAGAAATTCTGATCCCAACGTAGCGGTATGTTTATTTCACAATCCCTGATTCGTTGGGATCGCTCCAGGAAGGAAGGAAGGAAGGAAGGATCACAAAGGCAAAATGATTGTAAAACAATCAAGCCAATAAAGCATCTGGCATCCCTCCAGGGTGAGAAGGCGATAAATTGCCTAAAATAAAGATAAATCAGTGTCCCCCCCTTACCTGAAAAACACATCCATCAGTGGCTAAGAAATTTGGTGAAGATGTAATCAGAACAAATGGAAGACTCTGATTTTATATTACCTCAATGGCATCCCGTCTTGATATCAAATTAAACTCATCTATGATTTATCACCTGGCAAGTGGAAGTGTCTCAGACCGACACATCCTGACCACATAGGCATTCGGGGGAATATAGGAACATTACTATAGGAACCATTCTACAAAACAGATGTTGAGAGTTTGGGAAAAAAATCAAAGAAGAGCAACTAAGATGACCAAAGGCCTGGAGACTAAAACATACAAAGAATGGCTGCGGGACTTGGGTTTGGCTAGTCCAGGGGTAGGCAACCTTGGCTCTTTTATGACTCGTGGACTTCAACTCCCAGAATTCCTGAGCCAGCATGGCTCAGCTTGGAAACCTCTCCCTTTCCCCTCAGCATGGCTGGCTCAGGAATTCTCGAAGTTGAAGTCCTTGAGTCATAAAAGAGCCAAGGTTGCCTACCCCTGGTCTAGGCCTGTATTTCTCAACCTTGGCTCTTTTATGACTCGTGGACTTCAACTCCCAGAATTCCTGAGCCAGCCGTGCTGAGGGGAAAGGGAGAGGTTTCCAAGCTGAGCCATGCTGGCTCAGGAATTCTGGGAGTTGAAGTCCACGAGTCATAAAAGAGCCAAGTTTGAAGACGCCTGGTTTAAATATTTAAATATTTTTCCTCACAGCCACGTGATCAAAATTCAGGCATTTGGGCAGGGGCAGGTAACCTTGGCCCCTTCATGACTTGTGGACTTCAACTCCCAGAATTCCTGAGCCAGCCATGTTGAGGGGAAAGGGAGAGGATGCTGGCTCAGGAATTCTGAGAGTTGAAGTCCACGAGTCATAAAAGAGCCCAGGTTGCCTACCCCTGGCCTAGTCTAAAGAAAAGAAGAAACAAGGGAGACACGATAGTAGTGTTCCGGTATTTGAGGGGCTGCCCAAAGGAGAGAGGGTCATGTTATATATATAAATGACATGCTTTCTCCAGACTTAAGGAGATATAAAACCCAAGATCCATTCCTTAAGTATGGGAGTAATTAAATTAGATATATATTTTATTTAACTGCAATTGGATTTAAATATAAGCCTAAGTTAAATCAGGCATAGCTTCTGTCACCCTCCCACACGTTTCTTCAACCTGCCCACCCATCTTTCTGGAGGGTGGGTGCCCCATCAGCGTAATAATCATTGTTGAACTGCCACGATGGGTCATATTTGCTGCCTGTTAATTTAATCCACACGAGGATGATGTCATCATAAAGCATTTGGAGGGATTAAAGCCTGACATCTCGGCGGCATCATTTTTAGCTTTGGCCCTCAAAGAGAAGCAGAGGGTCCAATCTGCTATAAAGACACTGCAAGGAAGGGACAGCGTGGTTTATTAATCTGTAACACTCATCCACTCATCAAAAAGCATTAACTGTCTTTCCGAACATAATATTAATCCAGTGTTTCTCAATCGTGACAACTTGATGATGTGTGGACTTCAACTCCCAGAATCCACACATCTTCAAGTTGTCAAGATTGAGAAACACATGGTAGACACATACATAAAGAGAGAGAGAGAGAGACATAAATTAATGCAACTGTATATAGTCATAAATGTAATTGAATTCTATTAACAGGCTATTGCTATCTTTTGATACAGATTTAAAAAGCCAAATCTCTACCCCTGAAATGTAACACATATGAGATAAATCTAAAAGATTACTTGGTCGTATTTTGGTTTTCAGGGGTTTTTTTTTAAGCTGACTTTGGAAAAGGCGCACAAATCTGAGATATCCAGGGGAGAAAAAGAATAAATACAGACTAGATAGATAGATAGATAGGTAGGTAGGTAGGTAGGTAGGTAGGTAGGTAGGTAGGTAGGTAGGTATAGAGAGAGATATATAATAGATATATAAATATAGATATAGATATAAATATAGATATAGATATATAAAAGGAATTTACATTTCTCTGTTTTGCTGATTAGATTGGAAATTAGGTTTTATTTAAATAAATTAGAGTTATTTAAGCAGTACAGCATCCCTCCTACACTGCATCTGTGTTTTGACCACACATTATAATTCAGGCTGGTTGTTCCAGTCTGCTTAACAGCCTTAGCTGCAAGCCGCCCGGAGCGTATACATTCTCCTCTGACACACTGCCCTGAAGCAATGAGTCTTGGAAACCTTTTAGAGTTGTCGTTTTGCAATGCTAAGTAGAGTCGCACAGCCCTTCAGATGCAATTCCCAAAGATGCTTAGGAACACACTGGGCACAAACAGAGCATCAGTCTGCAACTCCTTAAAGCAGCTGTGTCTTTTCCTGGGAAGAGTCTAGAAAAAGAGGCAGCTGCTTTAAGGAGTTGCTCGAAGGTACAACCTATATACTCTTGAAATTTAATATGGGCAACGCACTCTCTTAATATTGAGGAAGCAGTGAAAAATAAGCATCAATCAAGAATTTTTTTTTAAGAGACCCTACCCCATAGGAAGCAATCTGATATTGAAGTTTGAAGAGGGAAGACGTACTGCTATAGCTACCTAGCTTTTTTTTTTTTTTTTTACATTAAGCCAGTGTTAGCGTAAATCTTGGTAGCTTTAAGACGTGCAGACTACAGCTCCAGAATTCCCCAGCCAGCATACAGAATTTTGATATCTTAAAGTTGCCGTGATTGAGAAATTCTGCTCCAGATGGATTGGGGTAACAATTCCCAGCATTCTGGTTTGTTCATTGGACTGGCCAGGAATTGTGGGAGCTGTCACCTAAGTCAGTGTTTCTCAACCTTTAGCATCTTAAAGTTGCAGGCTGGCTGGGGAATTCTGGGAGTTGAAGTCCACATGTCTTAAAGCTGCCACGGTTGAGAAGCTTTGAACTAAGCAATGGAAGCTTTGCTAAACTATGGCAATTCTTAGCCACAGAATGAAAAAGGGCTGTTGTTGAACCTGGAATCAGGGCTAGTCTTAGCCAAATGTAAGAATCAGGGCTTTTTTCTCATAGAACGCCCAGAACGGAGTTCCAGCACCTTTTTTGGATGGATCCTTGTAGGGTAGGCAAAGTGGGCTTTATGATGTGTGTGAGTTCCGGCACCTTTTTTTTTTTTTTTTTGTTAGAAAAAAAGCAATGGTAAGAATAGTGTACTTAATAATGAGACCAAACCAGCCAGGACTCTTCTGCATAGAAACCATGAATCCTAGCTCTTTTGAGGAGTCAAAAATGTGATCATTATAGGATTGTATACCTATATACAATATAGATTTGCTATGGCAAATCTAGACAGCATGCTAAAAAGCAGAGACATCACCCTGCCAACAAAAGTGCGTATAGTCCAGGCCATGGTTTTCCCAGTTGCAATGTATGGCTGTGAAAGTTGGACCATAAGAAAGGCTGAGCGCCAAAGAATGGAGGCCTTTGAACTGTGGTGCTGGAGAAGACTCCTGCGAGTCCCTTGGACTGCAAGACAATCCAACTGGTCAGTCCTAGAAGAGATCAACCCCGACTGCTCTTTAGAAGGCCAGATCCTGAAGTGGAAACTCAAATACTTTGGCCACCTAATGAGAAGGAAGGACTCCCTGGAGAAGGGCCTGATGCTGGGAAAGATGGAGGGCAATAGAAGAAGGGGACGACAGAGAATGAGATGGCTGGATGGAGTCACTGAAGCAGGAGGCGTGAGCTTCAATGGACTCCAGAAGATGGTAGAGGACAGGAAGACCTGGAGGAACGTTGTCCATGGGGTCGCGATGGGTCGGACACGACTTCGCAGTTAACAACAACAACAAATACCCACAATAGAGATTCTGTTCACAAGCTCCGCTTGGTCAAGATACTAACCATGGTTGTCAGGATGTATTTGTAGAAGGCAGATGTCATCCCCAACTCTGAAGCCTGGAGAAAAAGGCAATGCGCCAGAATTAACAACGAGAACATCTCCATTGCTTGACAACATGCTAGGCTTTCTGAGGACACCAGAAAATGTGCTGAGAAATTTGATATGAATGATTAGTGGGTTCTAAAACCAGCCAGATCACAAACTGCTGGACTGGTGTGTCCTGACTTACACTCCGTTCCAGCTGTTTTAAACATAGCCAGGTGAATAAGAGTTTTATGCCCTTCAGGTGAATCTCAAATAGGTATAAAAATATTGAAACTTTGGTCCTACTAAGGTTTATACCAGGTGTGTCCAACCTGCGGCCCATGGGCCACATGCAATCCTGAAGAACTAATAATATAATAAAAATATTTAAAAATTTAGGAAGTGTGTTATCTATATGAGCCGAGGTGGCGCAGCAGTTAGAGTGCAGTACTGCAGACCACTTTAGCTGACTGTGTTCAGCAGATCAGCGGTTCAAATCTCACCGGCTCAAGGTTGACTCAGCCTTCCATCCTTCCGGGGTAGGTAAAATGAGGACCCAGATTGTTGGGGGCCATGTAAATATATATATACATTGCTTACTGGTGTACACCGCTTAGAGAGTGCTTGCACTTAAAGCGGTATATAAGTCTCATAAATAAATAAATAAATAAATAAATAAATAAATATACATTAACTATATTATATATTTTATATGCAGCCCAAGACAATTCCTCTTCACTCAGTGCAACCCAGGCAAGGCTGTAGACTTCAACTCCCAGAATTCCTGAGCCAGGGATTCTGGGAATTGAAGACCACCGGTCATAAAGGGGCCATAATTGCCCACCCCTGGTCTAGGGGTTAAGACAGTCGGCTAGAAACCAGGAGACTGTGAATTCTAGTCCTGCCTTAAGCATGAAAACTGGCTGGGTGACTTTGGCTCTATCACCTGGAAACTGTGAGTTCTAGTCCCGCCTTAGGAATGAGAGCCGCCTGGATGACTTTGGGCCAATTACCAGGAGACTGTGAATTCTAGTGCTGCCTTAAGCATGAAAAAAAAAACCCAGCTGGGTGATTTAGGGCCAGTCCCTCTATCTCTCTCAGTCCAACCCACCTCGTAGGATTGTTGTGGGGAAAATAGGTGGAGAAAAGAGAATTAGGTAAGTTTGACACCTTGAGTTAGTTATGAGGTAATGACCGTAAGATCGAAATCAACTAAATAAATATTCCAAGGGGGCTTCACAATCGCCCAATAACTTGGGGAGAAACAAGGAGAGATCTTCACCCATTCTTAATCAAGGTACGCAATTAGCCTTTGGGTTCATTATGACTTCCCAAAGGTACACAAAGCATGGTCAGGAGCCATGTCACCTTCCCAGGAGAGAGTCCTCGTAACACCAGGCACGTAATGCTGAGAGACTCAAGATCCATCGAATAGAACATTCCAGTGTAAATTAAGTTGCTTACTCCGCCCTTGATGGCCAAACTCCAAAACTTTTGTGTTCCTGCCCCAGTTCGGCCCTGGCATCCTCTCTCACCTTCTTCAGGATGAGGTAAGAGATGGAAGCATTGGCGTCGATAATAATGGTGGAGATTTTGTCGTCTCGGATCTCCTTCAGCAGCGGCGTGGGATCGTTGGTGTCATCCAACATCCGGATCGAAAGAGTTTCCTTGGAGATCAGGAACTGTCGCACTAATTCCTCCAGTCTCAATAGGCCTGATTGGCAAAAAAAAAAAGGAGGTTACGCCAACCTTGCCTACAAGCTAGACTTCAGCCTTGTGGTCTGGCTTCAAGGCTTGCCCACTTGACCCTGAGCACGTTCAGTCAGAACGTGAAAGCTTCTGCCACCAAAATAAACATTATTAGTAATAGTAATAGTAATAAAGTTGGAAGGGACCTTGGAGGTCATCTAGTCCAACCCCCTGCTCAGGCAGGAAACCCTACACCATTTCGGACAAATGGCTGTCCAGTCTCTTCTTAAAAACTTCCAGTGTTGGAGCATTTACTGCTTCTGGAGGCAGGCTGTTCCACTGATTAATTGTTCTCACTGTCAGGAAGTTTCTCCTTAGTTCTAGGTTGCTTCTCTCCTTGATTAGTTTCCACCCGTTGCTTCTTGTCCTGCCTTCAGGTGCTTCGGAAAATAGCTTAATTCCCTTTTCTTTATGGCAGCCCCTGAGATATTGGAACACTGCTATCCTGTCCCCCCTTGTCCTTCTCTTCGTTAAACTAGACATACCCAATTCTAGCAACCGTTCCTTATATGTTTTAGCCTCCAGTCCCCTAATCATCTTTGTTGCTCTTCTCTGTACTCTTTCTAGCGTCTCAACAATATCTCTTGAGTTTGTTCACTGAATCAAAGCTCTTTGACTTCTGCTTTTCGGAAGACTGTGAAGATCAAAACACGATGATGGCTTGATCTTCACAAGAGGGTTTCCTGGTGGCCCGTCTGCCCAACATCAACACTGAGGCAAGCAACATTGCTCTTTGAATCTACTCACCCCAGACGACCAGACGCAATACTAAATTGATTTTTGCATTTAACATGTCTGCTTTTTTTTTTCCTTCCCCCAAATCCAAAATTACAGCTACAGGGAGGTGTTGATAATTATCAGCAACCCAGCAGGCTGATTGGAGGGGTGCAATTTTCACTACTGCAGCCCTGAATAAAATTGCTCCAATTTTATCTGAAGGACTGGTATTATTAACACTATTCTCTCACTCTCCTGCCTGCTATAATTTTAATAGACATAATCTCTGCTCACCCCTACATCAGCAGCCATTGCTATTTGCACATTCTTAAAAAGTGGCTTGTTAATTTAGTTGCTTTGATTCTGAATGCAGATTTAACTACCTGTATCTCAAGCAGGTACTCTTCAGATTACAATTCCCATCAATCACAGAGGCCAAATTGGCTGGGGGTGCTAGCAACCATGACTGACTGACAGCTTTCCCTGTCTTATGCTAAGCCAAAACACAAAGGAAAAAGAGGATCTCATACAGTTAGCTTTCTGGGAACATACAAGCACTCCCATACTTAAAATCACTCCACATGAAAAGTCCCAAATCTGCATGCTTGTCTCAAATGAAGCTGAGGTGGTGCAGCAGTTAGAGTGCAGTACTGCAGGCCACTTTAGCTGACTGTGTTCAGCAGGTTCAAATCTCACCGGCTCAAGGTTGACTCAGCCTTCCATCCTTCCGAGGTAGGTAAAATGAGGACCCAGATTGTTAGGGGCAATGTAAATATATACATACATTGCTTACTGGTGTACACCGCTTAGAGAGTGCTTGCACTTAAAGCGGTATATAAGTCTCATAAATAAATAAATAAATGTACTCTCTGCTTTCTTCCTCTACCCTCCCTGCAATTTTTCCTCTACTGCCAGTACTGACTATATCCCAGTGATGGCGAACCTTTTAGAGTCCAAGTGTCCAAACTGCAACCCAAAACCCACTTATGCATCGTCGGGTGCCGGGTGGGTGTGGCCCATTGGGTGGGCGTGGCTGCAGTGATAATGGCAGACTGGGTGGGACTAAAAAGTTCAATCAATCAATTCCAACTTTGCGAGATCTTTTTTTTTCCCCGTGAGAAGTTAAAATTGACTGATTGATTGATTGAATCTTTTTTTTTTGCACATGGTGGCGGAGGCCTAAAGCGAAAAGGTTTTATAAAACCCAGCTGAAGGCCTAGGATCGGGGCAATAGCGCGCGTGCCCACAGAGAGGGCTCTGAGTGCTGCCTCTGGCAGCCATGCCATAGGTTCGCCACCACTGCTAGATCCAGTAGGCAGCAGAATCAGATTTTGTGCTAGCTTTGGGAAATAGACTATCCTTGTACTTGATCAGATGTTTTGTTTTCAGACCTCACGGGCTAGCCGAGATTATTCTGTCCACACCATGTGAAAGTAGGAGCTTCCTCCACCCACTGTGCAATACAGCCACTCATTGGAGTTTTTGGCAAGATTCTGTCAAAAGGACATGATGTTCAGGCAGATGTAAATCCTGGCTCCCTGGCTCCCATAAACCAAAGGTACATGGAGAACACTTCCCACCCCGTGCCAAGCACCCCCAAATCCTGTTCCTTGCCAAACAGCACAATTGTCTTCCTTACATTCAGCCTTGGCACAAATGAGGCTCGCTGAGGGATAGTTGAAGGACTTCAGAATGCAAGACACCGCCAGGCTGACATCCTCGTTGCTGGGGTAGAGGCTGACCGAAGCAAAGCGCAGGTATTGCAATTTGGGCGTTTCCTCAGGACCCACCTTAACATGGGGTATCTAGAGGGCAGAAGGAAGGACAGTAAGGCTTGACAATAAGGCTGCTCTCCTTGGGTGACTACAAAACCAGGGCAGGCAAGAACGCTTCAGCAGGTCAAAATTCTACAGAACTAAACCTGCCTAACGGTAACGATATGCAGTCCTCAACTGATCATGATTCTCTTTAGCGACCATTCAAAGTTGCAACAGGACTGGAAAAAGTGACGGGCGACAGGTCACGTGATCCAAATTCGAGCCCTTGGCAATTAGCACATATATATATTGACCACGGATGCAGCTTTCCCAGAGTTATTTGATTGCCATTTTGTGACCTTCCAAGCCGGATTCCGACATGCGAAGTCCACAGGAGAAGGCAGATTCACTTAATAGCCGCACGAGTCACTCAACAACTGTAATGTTTCGCTTAGCGACCGTGGCAAAAAAAAAGTGGCAAAATTGAGCGTGAATCGTTTGAACAACCATTTTGTTTAGCAACAGAAATTCGGTCCCAATTGTGGCCCAAAGTCCAGATTACCTGTACTGTATTTAAAAAATTCTTTCTAGTCCTGCAGCGGTTTTTAAAGCTGTGAGCAAAATTACGCAGTCATGAGGTCTAGAAACATCCATGCCATTTTCCAAAGAAAGGGAGGGAGGAAACTAGCATACTGGAGTTCTAAAAGCAGGAATTGGACGATCCAAGCCATTCCACTGCCTAAATCAGGGGTAGGCAACCTTGGCTCTTTTATGACTGGTGGACTTCAACTCCCAGAATTCCTGAGCCAGCCACGCTGAGGGGAAAGGGACAGGTTTCCAAGCTGAGCCATGCTGGCTTAGGAATTCTGGGAGTTGAAGTCCACGAGTCATGAGGGGGCCACAGTTCCCCCATGCTGGCTCAGGATTCTGGGAGTTGAAGTCCACGAGTCATGAGGGGTCCATAGTTCCCCCATGCTGACTCAGGAATTCTGGGAGTTGAAGTGCACGAGTCATGAGGGGTCCATAGTTCCCCCATGCTGACTCAGGAATTCTGGGAGTTGAAGTCCACGAGCCATGAGGGGGCCATAGTTCCCCCATGCTGACTCAGGAATTCTGGGAGTTGAAGTGCACGAGTCATGAGGGGGCCATAGTTCCCCCATGCTGGCTCAGGAATTCTGGGAGTTGAAGTCCACGAGTCATGAGGGGTCCATAGTTCCCTCATGCTGGCTCAGGAATTCTGGGAGTTGAAATCCACGAGTCATAAAAATACCAAGGTTGCCTACCCCTGGCCTAACTCTTTGCCTCTGGAGAGAAGCCAAACTTCACCTTTTAAGCAAATGCAAGTCTGGCCCTTTTGAGACTCCAGCGGATGTCCTGTACTATTACATACAGAAAGTCCTCAACTTATAACCATTCGTTTAGTGACTGTTCAAAGTTACAATGCAACTGAGTTACGACTGTTAGGACCTTTTATTGCACTTATGACCTTTGCAGCATCCCCATGGACATGGGATCAAAATTCATATCCTTGGCCTCTGATTCATATTTCTGACGGTTGCAGCGTCCCGGGGTCACATGATATATCTCCCTTTTGCGACCTTCCAACATGCAACATCAACAGGGAAGCCAGATTCACTTACCAACTGCAGTAGATTCACTTAACAAGGGTGGGAAGAAAGATCGTAAAACGGGGTAAAACTCACTTAACAACAGTCTAGATTAGCAAGAGAAATTTTCGGCTCAAAAATTTGGTCGTAACATCATCATCATCATCACCTTGGAGGTCATCTAGTCCAGGGCTTTTCAACCTTTTCACCCATTGTACCACTTTTAGGATATGGCAGCATCCGAGTACCACCAGTCGCCTAGCAAGGTGTCAAAAACTTGACCCCCCCCAAAAAAAGGAAAAAAAAGTGATAAAGTACAGGTAGTCCTCGATTTACAACCGTTCGCTTAGTGACTGTTCGAAGTTACAATGGCACTGAAAAAAGTGCCCCCCAAGACACAGCCGAGCAAGACACCTGCCTGCCTGCCCAGTGGCGCTCTTCCTCCAGTACGAGGTTTTCATTGTTGTGAGCATTTCTGTTGAGGATTGGCAGCGGGGGTGGGATGGGGGGTGTTTGGTTTTTATTCCCCCCGTCTGCTGGGTGGTTGCAGCAGGTTTTGGTCACTTCACATGACCCTGGGACACTGTGACTGTCATAAATATGAATCAGTTGCCAAACATCTGAATGTAAATCACAAGACCCTGGAGATGCTGCAATATTCCAGCTGATCGGCGCTTCTTCTGGGCTCAGCAGAAGCACCAGGATCAGTGCCGAGCTCCAGCTGGAGCCTGGCGCTGATCTTGGCGCTTCCACTGAGCCTTGACAGCCCCGAAGAAGCGCTGATCCTGGCACTTCCACTGAGCCCTGACAGCCCTGCAGCTCCAGCCGTCTCTCGCTCAGGCTTGTGCGGTGCTGTCACCGGTTCAGCTCATTCCCCTCCCCTGCTACTTTTCTAGGATGTTCGCGTACCACCTGCCAGGTGCCAATGTACCACAGGTGGTACCCGTACCACTGGTTGAAAAGCCCTGATCTAGTCCAACCCCCTGCTCAGGCAGGAAACCCTACACCATTTCAGACAAATGGTTGTCCAGTCTCTTCTTAAAAACTTCCAGTGTTGGAGCATCCACCACTTCTGGAGGCAGGTAGTTCCACTGGTTAATTGTTCCAACTGTCAAGAAGTTTCTCCTTAGTTCTAGGTTGCTTCTCGGTTGAGGACTACCTGTTACATGCTTTTCTGAAAGAAAGGTTAGAATCCAGTCCCATTTGGGGGGGGGGATAGAAAAGGGCGGTGCTATCATCAAAAGCTGCCAAAAATGTAAGGAATGGTGATGAGTTCTGGGTCCGCTCACCTCTTTTTCTCCACATATGTGGCTGACGATGGATGCAGAGGCCGGGCTGGACGCTGGTCCCAAAACGGAGACTACCCCTTTAGGCAGAATTTGACACACTGGGTGAAACAGAGAGGGTGGGAAGAAGGTTAGATGGGGGAAAAAAACCCACCCTTCTCATTGTACAGTCCAAGCTTGCCGTACTGAGCAACATTATCGCCTTTGTAAAGTTTCTATTGTACGGCTTTTCTTTTTTACTATCTGCCAGTCATTCCAGAAGCACAAAAGAGTAGAGTTCGGAAGCTGGTCTAGAAGAAATTAGTGGGTGAAAAAGTCCTTCTTCTAGTCTGGCTTAGCTGGCAGGCTCCAAAAAAAGCAAGACAGACAGAGTTACTTCTAAGCAATGTCCTTTATTGTTCTTCCCCTGCAGACCGAAACCTTGCCCACCTAAAGGAAGCTACTCGCAGCATTGAAGATAGGCTGTGAAAACTTGCTGCCTTGACTTGCTTCCTCTCAACCAAGTTATCTAAATCAGGGGTGTACGAACCTGGCGGCTTTAAAACCTGTGGACTTCAACTCCCAGAATTCTGGGAGTTGAAGTCCACAAGTCTTAAAGATGCCGAGGTTGAAGACCCCCGTTTTAAAATACTGAAAGAAGACAAATAATGAAGGAAAAATGCTGGCGGGAGAATTCTGGGAATTGAAGTTTTCAAGCTTCGACACCCCAATCTAAACTTCACTGTCTCTTGGTCCTCTGGACCAGTGGCCCTCAACCTTTTGAGCACCAGGGACTAGTTTCATGGAAGACAATTTTTCCACAGACTCACGGTGGGGAGGAGCGTAACCTAGATCCCACGTATATATAGTTTCATAATAGGATTTGCTCACCCACCGCTTTGCAGCCAGGTTACCAACAGGCCATGGACTGGAACCGGGACACAGCCCGGGGTTGGGAAACCCTGCTCTTGAATACAGCTCTCTCTTCTGGGACCACATTCTACCACAGTACCTCTGACCTTGCTCAAATGGCCTATACCAGGGGTCTTCAAACTTGACCCTTTTATGACTCGTGGACTTCCACTCCCAGAATTCCTCAGCCAGCATAGCTCAGCTTGAAACCTCTCCCTTTCCCCTCAGCGTGGCTGGCTCAGGAATTCTGGGAGTTGAAGTCCACCAGTCATAAAAGGGCCAAGTTTGAAGAGCCCTGGCCTATACTGACCATCCAAGGCTTGAAACCTTGACCTCAACTTTCAGAGGCTCTTTTAGGGAAGCTCCCTCAGGGCCACACCTCCTCATGGGGTGCTTTTGACATGGCTCCTTCTCAGGCCAAAAAATTGCTTGTAGGCCTTGTCGTGCAAATGGAGAACCCAGAAGTTCATCCCCTCACAAACCCCCGAGATAAGGATGCTGTTCTTAACAAGCAGGACTTTCCAAGTGACTTCAACACAACACACCGTTGCATCCTGATGTACAGTTAAGCCCACTTTGAGGGATGGATAGAGCCAGCTCAACATATCATAACTGATCGCTCCTTACAGTGGTCCCTCCTTAACTTCAAGGAGCTCCACCTTCTCGGTTTCCTGGTTTCAGGGGTTGAGAAGATTGTCCTTGCCCTGCTGGAGGGCACCCAACGTACTGGTGTCGGTGGTCTCGTACTGGCTGTCCCGCTGCAATTCGAAGATCTCCACCTCCACCCGGGCCTTGGCGGGCACTTCAATGATGCTGTTGATGTGTTCACGGGCCAAAGCTAAGGCGAGTCGCTCCCCACGTCCACACACTGTCTGGTCATCCAAAATGGCAGCTGGTCGTGAGACAGGAACCGATGACGGTTACAAAAAAAGAGAAAGGAAGGGAGGGAGGGAGGGAGGGAGGGAGGGAGGGAAGAAGGGAGGGAAGAAGGAAGGGAAGAAGGAAGGGAGGGAGGGAAGAAGGAAGGAAGGTAGTTTTGATCACTGTCAAATAAACTTTCTTTTGAACTATTCCCTGAGTGTAGACATTGTCTTTCTCAACCATCTCCACAAGATGACTGTCAACCTCTCCCCATGTACAGAGGGGACATCTCCCAGAATTCCTGGCCAGCACGATGAACAAGTAGGAATGGGTAGGAATTGTTGCCCCAATCCATTGAAAGCAGTGTTCCTCAAACATGGCAACTTTAAGATGACTGGACTTCAACTCCCAGGGGAAGGGAATGGGGAATTCTGGGAGTTGAAATCCAGACATCTTAAAGTGGCTAAAGTTGAAAAACACTGCTCTGGAGGACGTCAGAACACGTGTGGTCATAACACGACTGCTCTGATCTTCATCTTTCTTGTTTAATTTTCTTCTGCAGATTCTGGGATCCTTGTTCTTTGTCTACTCCATGATCTAACCTCAGCCCTGGACAAACACCGATGCCCTCTAGTTTGGAAGTAAAGCAGCTTCAACCTCTGCAGTTGCTTCCAAGGACCAGATCTGTACAAAACGCCCAAGTTCTGCCATTTTTCCTGGAGCCATCTGGCTGCAAAGATAACAAGGACTTCTAGAACCATAACTGACACCCCTTCTCCAGCCACTGTCATGCCCAAGGTCAAGCTAACTGAGACTCTGGCTTTCTGCCCAAAGCTTCAACCACCCTCCACGTTCTTGAAGTTCTCTTAGAACAACAGAATAACAGATGTCTATGGAGATTCTCAGTCTCCAGGTCATGGTTGTCCCCAAAGTGCTTTTTCAGGAGGCAACTGGACTTTCTTGTTTTTCTTTGAAGACGTTTCGCTTCTCATCCAAGAAGCTTCTTCAAGTTCTGACTGAATGACTCTCAGGAAGAGTGCTAATGACCAGATGACTGCAAGCTCTGACTGGATGGTGGGGAAGGGAAGGATTTATACTCCTTGCAGACAGCTGGTCATTTGCATTCTTTTGGAGAGTCGTTGAGGCCACTTGGAGGTTCCGCTGGTTTGAAAGAGTGAAAGAGGTCATTTATGTCAAAACTGAACAGCCCTCCCTCAACAGAGGGGGAGGGGTACGGCATCATCTATCTCCAGTCTACAACACAGTCCTTTCAGCAGTTCCAAGACGCCTCCACACCCATTTGCACCACTCAGGTGATCTTGAGGACACAGACAAACCTCCAAGTGGCCTCAACGACTCTCTAAAAGGATGCAAATGACCAGCTGTCTGCAAGGAGTATAAATCTTTCCATTCCCCACCATCTTGAGGACACAGACAAATCTCCAAGTGGCCTCAACGACTCTCATAAAAGAATGCAAATGACCAGCTGTCTGCAAGGAGTATAAATCTTTCCATTCCCCACCATCCAGTCGGAGCTGAAGAAGCTCACTGGATGAGAAGCGAAACGTCTTCAAAGAAAAACGAGAAAGTCCAGTTGCCTCTTGAAAGATCACCTTTGGGACAATAGAATAACAGAGTTGGAAGGGACCTTGGAGGTCTTCTAGTCCAACCCCCTGCTCAAGTAGAAGACCCTATCTAAACCATTTCAGACCTCCAGGGACGGAGCACCCAAAACTTCTGAAGGCAAGCCGTTCCACCGATTCACCATCCCATAGCAAAGGTCTTCTACTCACCCATGCGCAGAGAGGACAACAACTCCAGGCTCTGGTGGGTGAAGGCGAGTATCAGCAGCAGCAGCAGCGCGGGCAAAGCCGGCATCTTCTACTCCTCCTCATGGAGAAAGTTCGGCCGTGGCCTCTGCGCTGCCACCTGCAGGTAGGACAGAAAGATGCCCCCTTTGCATGAGTACCTGGAAGAGATCTCAGCAGACGAATGTCTGGCCAACGTCGCCCAGCTTTGGAAGCTAAGCAAGGCTGAGCTGATACTGAGAGGAGAGACCATCAGAAGGTCGCAGAACTCTAGGCTGGATTGCATCAAACCCCCCCCCCTTCTCTACAGGTAGCGTAGGAGATGAGCAGGCTGAACTCGAGGGAGGGAGGGGGGGTCAAACGCATCATAAGTCTCGAGTCCCTTCATGCTCACAAAAGTCCAGCCCGCCTTGAATTCTACTGACTCTTATCTACTTGCTTTGACCCTTAGTGGTTCGGGTTCTTGTAGAGAACTTAAGCTTGCAATAAAACTAGATAACTTCCTGACAGTGAGGACAATCACCCAGTGGAACAGCTTACCCCCAGAAATCGTGGGTGCTCCATCACTGGAAATTTTTAAGAAGAGACTGGACAATCACCTGTCTGAGATGGTATAGGTTCTCCTGCTTGAGCAGGGGGCTGGACTAGAAGACCTCCAAGGTCCCTTCCAGCTCTATTCCATTCCATTCCATTCTCCTATTCTATTCCTCTGGCTGAGGAATTCTGGGAGTTGAAATACACAAGTCATAAAAGGACCAAGTTTGAAGACCCCTGCTTTAGATGATTGTATACCTTGACTAGGGATGGAGGAAGGTCTCTCCTTGTTCTACAGGGAGATTGTGAGTAGGGAAAAGGTCTTTGACGTTTTCTTGGAAATAATGCTCAAGGCAGCCCTCCACCCTTCGCAGACTTGGCTACAGGAGAATTATGGGTGGTGTTTCCCCTCCCACCAGCATTTTTTCTTCCCAATTAACCCTCTTTCAAAGTGTTAGAGAACAAATAGATCAGGGAGGATCATAGATAGATAAAAGCGGAAGAACGAAAGAAAGCCCTTTTATGTTCAGATGTTTAAGAAAGGATGCTTTATTTGAAGATGAACAGGGACTAAGTCATCTGCCCATGGTGATAAACTTGATCTAGAGGTGACCTACAGTAAATATTTTGCTTGGTCCTTCCTGCAGGGTCTTCTGCCATGTGCTGCCCCCCCCCCCTCACTTATTTCTGCCACTATCACAAGAGCAGCCCCTGCCTGCCATTACGCTCTCGGCTACCTATCGGACACTCCCTGCCCTTCACTTCAGCGCATTCTCCCTTTAGCTGCCAATCCTCGTTGGTCTCCAGCAAAAAATAAATAGATAAATCAAAGTGGTCCCATGGTCAACAGCCAACTTTCCTAGCACAGTGCCTCCTACTGGCCAGTCCTTCCAGCATTTTCCCCTTCAGGCTTGAGGCATCTTTCCAACCGCGGATGCTGCAAAGGACCAGCAAACGCCCCACCCCCACCCCCGTCGCACATGACACCCGTCCTGCTTTGCGCTGAGTCAGCAACACTCCTTTGTCCTAGCACTGTGTGTGTTCACCTTGAGCATTAATTTTTTTGTTTTTCATCCATCCCCGGCAAACAGAAGGGAGCGGTGGGGGGGGAGGGGGGAAGATAACGGTTTCTGCCTCTTTGATCCCACGGTCCAGATGAGGCGGGGGAAGGACCAAAAGCTAAAATAAATAAATAAATAAAAGAGGTCCTGCAGTGTGAAACCTTACCTGGGAGGAGAAAAAAAAAAAATCCTACAGAGAAGTAGTTAGCCTAGCCCAGCAGTAGGCAACCTTGGCTCTTTTATGACTCGTGGACTTCAACTCCCAGAATTCCTGAGCCAGCATGGCTTAACATAGCAATCTCTCCCTTTCCCCTCAACACGGCTGGCTCAGGAATTCTGGGAGTTGAAGTCCACAAGACATAAAAGAGCCAACGTTGACTACCCCTGGCCTAGGCCTGTATTTCTCAACCTTGGCTCTTTTATGACTTGTGAACTTCAACTCCCAGAATTCCTGAGCCAGCCATGCTTAGGGGAAAGGGAGAGGTTTCCATGCTGAGTTATGCTGGCTCAGGAATTCTGGGAGCTGAAGTCCATGAGTCATAAAAGAGCCAAGGTTGCCTACCCCTGGCCTAGCCACAAAAGAACGAAAGGACGAAAACCTCAGCTAAACCACGTAGGGCCTTCATGATGCATGTTTCAAGGCATTGTGTCTCTGAATACAGGGGGTCCTTGACTTTATAACCGTTCGTTTAGTGCCCGTTTAGAGTTACAACGGCACTGAAAAAGGTGACTTAGGACCGTTTTTCACACTTACGACCGTGGCAGCGTCCCCACGATGACGCGATCAAAATTCGGCCGCTTGGCAATTGACTCATATTTATGATGGTTTATGCCAGGGGTCTTCAAATCTGGCCCTTTTATGACTTGTGGACTTCAACTCCCAGAATTCCTCAGCCAGCAAAGCTGGGCGTTGAAGTCCACAAGTCATAAAAGGGCCAAGTTTAAAGATCCCCCTCGTTTATGTAATGTCCTGGGATCACACGACCCTCTTTGGTGGCCTTCTGACAAGCAAAGTCAATGGGGAAGCCAGGTTCCCTTTAACTTAATTTAACCCCTGCAGTGATCCGCTTAACGACGGTGGCAAGAAACGCCGTAAAATGGGGCAGGACCCAGTGAGCCGCTGTCTCGCTTGGTAACAGACGTGGTCGTGAGTTGAGCACCGTCTACCTCAACTCTAGTTGAGGCTGAATTTGGATCGTGTGACCGTGGGGACACGGCAGTGGTCGTTAAGTGTGAAAAACGGTCGTAAGTCACTCGATGTAATTTTGAGAGGTCACTAAACAAACGTTTGTTAAGTCGAGGACCTGCTGGACTGGAGGCCAAGCACAGGGGGAAGAGAGCTCAGCCTGAAGGCCTCATTGCTGAGTTTCCTGAGGGAATCAGGCCGTTTGCTAATGTGGGGGGGGGGCATGACTGGACCCAGCGATCCAGAGAAATTGAGACTGTTTCCAAGGTGGCTTTTACACCACCGTTACAACCAGTGGGGGGGGGGGGTGGAGAAGCAGCACACCTCGACTTCTCTCTCCTCTGTGCAGTGCTGAAGGTTCAGGGGCAACGGCATGACACGGATCTGCAAACAAAGAGGATGTGCCTGACATTTGCACAGCCATCCTCGGCTATAAAGGTGAAGCGAGGATTTCTGGATTGGCCCTTTTCCCAGGACGACAAGCAGGCTGCAGAGGAGAAGGGAGATTAGAATTGGAAGCTGGGAGGAGGAAGGGGTGCTTCATCACTGGACGATTTTCAGAAGAGATCGGACTACCATTGGTCTGAAATGGTATAGGATTTCCTGCCTGAGCGGGGGTGGGGTTTGGACTAGAAGACCTCCAAGGTCCCTTCCAACTCTTGCGATTCTATTCCATTCCATTCCATTCTTCTACTTCATTCCATTATTCTATTCTATTCTATTCTATTCTGTTCTGTTCTAAATTCTATTCTATTCTATTTCTATTCTCTGTTCTATATTCTATTCTATTCTATTCTATCTCCTATCCTATTCTTCTACTTCATTCCATTATTCTATTCTATTCTGTTCTATATTCTATTTTCTATCCTATTTTTTATCCTATCTCCTATCCTATTCTTCTACTTCATTCCATTCTATTCTATTCTATATTCTATCCTATTCTATTTTCTATCCTATCTCCTATCCTATCCTATTCTTCTACTTCATTCCATTGTGTTGTGTTGTGTTGTGTTGTATTGTATTGTATTGTACTGTACTGTACTCTATTCTATTCTATTCTATTCTATTCTATTCTTTCCTACAGTTGAAGTTGGACTGACATCACAAATCAGTGGGTTTCTGAGTCTTTCTGCTGTCATATGGATTCGACAGCCCAGATTCTGCTAGCAGAATCTGTGATTCTTCTGTTGCAATTGCCAAAATTCTCTTTTCTCCACTGGGCTAAGGGGAAGAAGCAGGCAATGCCATTTGGGCCAGGAAAGTGGTCCCATCCATGCTGTGTTCCTAAAGGGCCCCTTCCTGCAATCTGTCCTTTACCTTTACTACGATTCAGGGATTGCAGAATAGCCTATATATTCGGATTATCAAGCGCCAGCTCCAATTTAAGGATTGTGTCTCCTAGCAGGCAGTTACGCTGTACAATAGATCCGTCCTCTGGAAATGCGCCTCCAAAATTAATTAAGAACTTCATTTCCACAATAGCCTCCAAACTGAATTCCAGAACCAACTTCCAGGAGTTTTCACACAGAGTCTTTTTTTTAAAAAAAATAATAACAATAATAAATGATTTCTTACATTTGCATGCTAGGTGAAAATGACTGCCTGGCGAAGCCCATAGCAGAGCTGGCATCGGGAGTTGGCACTGCTGGGCATATGCCAAGATGCGTTGCTCAGCAGGAGCCCACGATTAAATCTCTCCCCCCCCCATGGCATCCCTCAGCCCCACGGCTCTTCTGCTTTTTGATTTTGAGGCCTATCCACCTGGTCTCTTGAGTGAAGAAAAAAGTGGGGTGAAAGCCAATTTGGTCTAGCGGTAAAGTTAGAAAACAGGAGACTGTGAGTTCTAGTTCTTAAGCATGAAAGGCGGCTAATCTCTGAAAAGGCCCAACACATTTTTTTTTGTCCTTTGTGGGCCAAATTACAGCCCAGTTAAGTGATAAGCAGCAACCGTTTAAAATTTAGTGCCGCCTTAAGCGTGAAAGCCAATTGGGTGACTTTGGGGCCAATCACCAGGAGACGGTGAGTTCTATCCCGCCTTAAGCGTTTAAGCTGTCTGGATGACTTTGGGCCAATCACCAGGAGACGGTGAGTTCTAGACCTACCTTAGCCATGACAGATGGATGGGTGACTTTGGGACAGTTAGTTCTAATCTCACTGTAAGGACCCACCCCACTTTGCATCTTAAGAAGATAGAACTCTTAGAATAATTCTTCCAACAGGAATCCTTTATTAAGAGAAAATGGTTGCAGGCGTTCTAGACAGGACTTGGGGTCCAAGCTCTCCCATTCAAGGTTTTAAGGGGTTCCCCAGTAGTCCCACCCAATCACCCCCCTCTTCCAGCGACAGTTTCAGGCATCACAATCCCACCCCCTTTTCCTTTCTGCCGGCTGGATGGAGACTTCAGAGAAAACTACATGAAAACTTTGTTATGATAAGGCCTTTTGGTGCTATCCACATTCAATCCCTTTGAAGTTGTACCAAAGGAAGTGAGGGCCATAAAGCCCCTTTGTTCACCCCCTTCCCTTTCTTGTATGACAGATTCCAGAGAGGGCAGAAATGGGGTTTTCTATAATTGATAACTGGAGATGAAGTATAATTGGATTCTGACGTTCACCTTACGCATGGCGGGGTGAGTTGGAGGAGACTATTCACTAGGAGACTATGAATTCTAGTCCCCACCTTAGTCAATAAAGATGGCTGGGTGATTTGGGGCCAGTCCCTCTTTCTCAACCCACAGGGTTATTGTTGTAGGGAAAATATGAGGAGGAAGGAGATATTCATTTCCTTGAATTATTGATAAAAATAATAAAGGCGGGACTTTGAAAAAAAAATCTAAAAAAATCTAAGTGCATCCAACCAGCTACCCTAACAGCATTTGTAGATCTCCGAATAGCATTTGCAGAATGGCTTACTATAATATATCTACAGCTACCTTGGTGAATTATCCTCCCAAATTCCACCTACAACACTTCCTTCTGTCCCTAAAATGCTGAGCTCTGGTATCTATCCACAAGACAGGTCAGCAAAATCAAAATGGCAGCTGTTATTGCTTGACTGTAGCCTTAGACCTTGAGTTTCGTAGCCTTTAATTGTGGAATTTCAACCACTCAATTATGGCCATCCTCTTGACCAGGGGTAGGCAACCTTGGGTCTTTTATGACTCGTGGACTTCAACTCCCAGAATTCCTGAGCCAGCATAGCTCAGCTTGAAAACCTCTCCCTTTCCCCTCAGCATGGCTGGCTGAGGAATTCTGGGAGTTGAAGTCCACGAGTCATAAAAGAGCCAAGGTTGCCTACCCCTGGTCTAGGCCTAGGCCCCTTTCTGACTTGCGGACTTCAACTCCCAGAATTCCTGAGCCAGCATGGGGGAAACTTTGGCCTCTTCATGACTCGTGAACTTCAACTCCCAGAATTCCTGAGCTAACATGGCTGAGCTTGAAAACCTCTCCCTTTCCCCTCAGCATGGCTGGCTCAGGAATTCTGGGAGTTGAAGTCCGAGAGTCATAAAAGAGCCAAGGTTGCCTACTCCTGCGAGTCTTGACTGACACAAGTAGACATCCTGTGGTTGCCCTTGCCCTAAACATCTGAAAGCTAAGCCTTCAGAGAAGACCTGGGATATTACTGGTTGGTGGGGTCTCCCTGACCAAGAGTGAACATGTGCAGAGTGACTTTCTATCACTTCGTAGATGCCCCAAAATCTCAGAAGACAAGACATGGTTGCCAGGTGCCCCAGAGAGTCAGAGTGCATTGCCGGTCTTAGCATTATCCAGACCCAAAGCTTTAGACCAGGGAGTGCCCAACTATGGCAACTTTTAAGACTTCTGGACTTCAACTCCCAGAATTCTGAGAGCTGAAGTCCACAAGTCTTAAAGTTGCCAAGGTTGGACACCCTTGCTTTAGACCAGGGGTAGGCAACCTTGGCTCTTTTATGACTCGTGGACTTCAACTCCCAGAATTCCTGAGCCAGCCACGCTGAGGAGAAAGGGAGAGGTTTTCAATGGCGTTTCTTGCCACCGTCGTTAAGCGGATCACTGCAGGGGTTAAATTAAGTTAAAGGGAACCTGGCTTCCCCATTGACTTTGCTTGTCAGAAGGCCACCAAAGGGGGTCGTGTGATCCCAGGACATTGCATAAACCAGGGGGATCTTCAAACTTGGCCCTTTTATGACTTGTGGACTTCAACTCCCAGCTCTGCTGGCTGAGGAATTCTGGGAGTTGAAGTCCACAAGTCATAAAAGGGCCAGATTTGAAGACCCCTGGCATAAACCATCATAAATATGAGTCAATTGCCAAGCGGCCGAATTTTGATCACGTCATCGTGGGGACGCTGCCACGGTCGTAAGTGTGAAAAACGGTCCTAAGTCACCTTTTTCAGTGCCGTTGTAACTCTAAACGGGCACTAAACGAACGGTTATAAAGTCAAGGACCCCCTGTATTCAGAGACACGATGCCTTGAAACATGCATCGTGAAGGCCCTACGTGGTTTAGCTGAGGTTTTCGTCCTTTCGTTCTTTTGTGGCTAGGCCAGGGGTAGGCAACCTTGGCTCTTTCATGACCCAGAATTCCTGAGCCAGCATAACTCAGCATGGAAACCTCTCCCTTTCCCCTAAGCATGGCTGGCTCAGGAATTCTGGGAGTTGAAGTTCACAAATCATAAAAGAGCCAAGGTTGCCTACCCCTGTCCTAGAGGGAGCTGGGCTGTGTGGTTAGCATAAACCTAGCCCAGGGGTAGGCAACCTTGGCTCTTTTATGACTCGTGCACTTCAACTCCCAGAATTCCTGAGCCAGCCATTGTTGAGAGGAAAGGGAGAAGTTTCCATGCTGAGCCATGCTGGCTCAGGAATTCTGGGAGTTGAAGTCCACAAGTCATAAAAGAGTCAAGGTTGCCTACCCCTGCTTTAGACCAAGGCAATAAGGAGGAATTGCTGTCGGCAACTTCTCCAGTCTGGCTCAACTAATGAGGAAAACAGCATCTTGGCGCCACGTGACCACAGTTGCCAAGCAACAAGAAGCTGCTAACAAGGATGCCACGGTTGCTAGGCAAAGCCATCTGCAGTGTCACGGCCCTTCCCAACTGAGTTGCCTCTTTTCTCCTCTCAGGAGAGAGAGTTCCTCCAAAGAATGGCGCAAAGTTAGAGCAAGAGAGAAAGGTCAACTCTTCCCTTTCTCCTTGGCTTTCCCACCCCCCCCCGTGTCCCCCAAGGGGGGCTGGTGGGGAGTGATGGGGGAAAAGAACTTTAGGTGGGATTCTTTTGGTGGGATTCTGGACAGCCTCTTATCTGAAATGGTGCAGGTTCTCTTGCTTGAGCAGAGGGTTGGACCACATGACCTCCAAGGTCCCTTCCAATTCTGTTGTTCTTTTCTCTCCTCGGCCATCTTTTGCATTTCCGCATCTCACGCAAATACATCTTGAATATGGCCGCCTTTCTCCTCCCTGTCCTCCCTACGGACCACCCACATCTTTGGCTGATGCTGCCGGAAAGGAATCCAACTAGCCCACTGGAGAAATCTCATCCCGTTCCGAGAAATTTCAGAGTTGTGTTGTTGGGTACGTAACGCATGAATTTTAGTCCTTCGGCCTTCAAATTTGGCCCAAATTCTGTAAGTAGCTCTGGAGTCCCCCAGTTTGTTGGGAGTCAGAGGACCCCTGGATCCCCATTTGCAC